CATTGCAAAGCCAGTCTCATCAAAATTCCAGATATCATCCTCATGTATACCATGTTCTTTAATAGCATCATGCACAGTCCCAAACCATTGCTTTAGGACCTTTGGGTCCTCCTGCTTTGCACACTGGTATGTTATCCTCCAATTATACCTTGTACGTAGTTCAGGACGGCGTTTAATAAAGGAAGAGGCCCAGTTGACTCCAAGGACTGCAGTGGGATCTTTTGTACATTCACGAAGTAAGATCTGTGCCATTCCACGTAAAAACTCTGGCCAGACTGAAAAACCTCGTTTATCTGCATTGAGAAGTTGCTTGACAAGAGATTCCTCTTCAACGGCAGTCAATTTATGGCCACTGGCACGTGTTTCTGAACGTGGTTGGATTCCATCAAGCCGATTAATAAAAGTAGACTTTGGCACCCCAAAAACTGCTGCTGCCTTTGATTTTGATTGAATTTTTTTGCTTCTATACGCGCTGATGGCCATTTGAATTCGATTTTCTTGAGAAAGAGGCATTTTAGATGATGGTGGTGACAAAATGACGCGTTGAAGTATGATTGTTGGAAAATTGCGGAGGAAGTGGACGGGACGGCCGTGTGGACGGCTCGGCCGTGGATTACGTTAGTTACAGTACTCCGGAGTACGTAAGTAGACAAGGATCATCGACACCTCAGGCCTCAACAACAGGGTCCGATAGTAAGCGCAAGATTATTGGCACATCCTTTTTTATGCTGAAAAGATTTGGGAGAATAAATGGGCTAGAAGGGTAATATACAGTAGTTACACACTAATATGTGTGGTAATGCTAGAATACAAATCGCTGTAATTCACCCCACTCTGACTAGATCGAAGACATGACTTGATGGTATTTCTTTTCCTTTTTATAGCCGTTTCCTTTTCAGCATCCCTGTCACAGATAGAAAAGATATAGGAAGAAAACATCAATAGAATACTCATTCATCTCTTCCCCAAGACTCCTTCCGCAACTGCCGGTCTTCCCTGGCCATCCGCCGCTTTGTGCCCCATCTAGATTGCACTGCTTCAAGCACTTGCCGCTGGATCTCTTTCTTCTGTGGACTAGCCTCGCATACCATAGCAATAAACATTGGCGAGCAGTCAAAACGTTTGGCAAGTTTCCATCGGCTCCAGGTCATGGGGTCACTGAGTCGGAGTCTGCGGATTTCCTCGATGTCCGACTGATTCAAGTGGTACTTCTTCTCGGGAGTGGATTTGAAAACGGGAGGAAGCTCCTTTGCATTGTGGCTGTTCGTGGAAGCATCTGTACGTAGGCCTCTTCGAATGTCGTCGGCGGGCAGGAACTTTGTTGGCGTGTGATACACAGAAGGTGCGCTTGAAGGAGGATTGTAGATGATTTGTTCTTGGAATTGATCTGACGAAGCACCAAACGAAGCATCTGGCTTAACACGTAGGCGCTGTTTCGTACGTCTGTAGGAGGATTGATTCCGCCGCGATTCTATAGCGACAGACTCGGATAGTGAGGGCAGGAGAAATGGGAGGGTAAGGAAGGGTCGTTTCGGAGCAACAAGAACAGCGGTCATTATGAACAAATATACTTCACAAGTTTGTTGCTTTTCAATGAGGTTTTATTCTCTGGGCGTTGCCCGTGGTTTCATGCAGAGATTGAAACTAGAGTGACGCAGCGAGAATCAGCAAAAGACGGCATTAAACGGGAGGGAAGTATGAGGGGATATACAATTCTTGTATATCTGTCGCTATATGACGAATTCTGGTCTGTTTCGATTTTCATGCAGGTATGAGCCCGGACTGGCTTTAAGTCAACATCGGGTTTTGCACGAACATTATTTTTTCCCGAATTGCAAGTGAGTCCCGTGACATCGCATGCAGCCCGCTTACTAACCAATACTTTAAGTTACTCAAGTTAGATTACCGAGGATTCGTACTCTCTACTACTACTTCGTATGGAGTGAACAAATTAAACTACAATAGCAGACTAGTTCGATCGTGTTTGCTTTACATTTGTATCTCATCTCGACCCAAGTACAAGTAGATCCTCGGGGCTTTTACCCGGCCTTCCTGCATCCACAGAAGGTGATATGTATGGTACTATGGCGTACAGGCGCATTCCCCTATTTGCAAACATATGACACTAGAGCCCCATATGTCTATGACTTCTTAACACTCGCCACTGCATCTAGGGCTTGTTGAAACCTAGAACGAATGTCTGGAATATCCTCTAATCCAACACTTACTCTCACCAAGTCAAAATCAATGCCAAACGAGCTTGCCTGCGAAGTGTCAGACAGAACACATGTTGTGAATGAGACGAGAAATTTATCGGATCAAATAATACTTACCCATTCCAATTCGTTGTAGTGTGCTATCAACGTGTACGGACAACTGGGGTTTATCGTTAGCATTTAATGTTAAATTATACAGACAACAAGAAACTTGCCTCAGAGTGAAATTGGTCCCAAGACTAGGTCCCTTCATAACTTCCAAGTTATCAAAGAAAGCCGTCGCCTCGGGAGTTGTGTGAAAAGTAACGGAAAAGAGACCGCCGTAACCCCCGTTAGGGTTGCGGACGTTATCGTAGAATGGCTTTGAAGGGCCATACTTGGGATAGTAAATTTCTTTCACTATAACATATCAAATCAGCAACGAATGGGTCAAACCGACATGACAATTTACTTACCCAGTGGCGATTCTTTCAACATCGCCGTGATATCCTCCGAAGTCTTGTTAATCTTCTCAATTCTCGGCACGAAGTCACGGCTATTTCTTTCAAGAAACACCGCGTCTTCCGCCCAGTAATCATCCTCGTATTCTTTGTTGAATGCATTTTTCAAATCTTGATAGAAGCGTCCGTGTGGATTGATGACGGCGCTCCCCCCCATAACGTTGCTGTCCCCACTGAAGATTTTCGTCAAGCTGCTAACAACGATGTCTGCGTATGGAAGCACGTTAATATTGAGGAAGTTGCCAACGGTCTCATCCACCACTACAAGAAACTCGTATTTGTCGGCAAGTGACCGTATCCTTCTAAGATCTGGCGTTTTGAGTAGCGGGTTACCAGGCACTTCAGTGAAAAGGGCGAGAAACCTTTCACCGTTGACCAAGCGCGACTCCAAGTCATCTAAGTCTCCAGACGAACCGTGTCCGTAGAATAAGCATCCTGGGCCCCATTTTTCAAGCACTTTCAGCGTATCAATATATGGGAAGCCGAAACAGATGCTCTTCATGGGGCCTCTAGCAGCCAGAGCGATTTGATGGGCATTGAAAATCGAGCCCATTCCGCTGGGAAAGAGGTAGACGTCGTCTTCGGTCAATCCCGCCACTCGCCCCTCATCTGATGCCTTTTCAAGAGCCTCGCTCAATTCAACATCAGCAGTCATAACACCTGCTATCCGTCTGCGGACGGCCAACTTCGCTTGATCGGCCAAAGAAGTGTTTAGGTTCCGACCAAACCGCTCCTCAATAAACTGGGAGTATTCCCGGCCGTCTTGGGCCCCATCAACTGCGGGAGATGCGCTTGGCGTTGTTCCGGTGCCTCGAGAAAGCCCGCTGACAGATCCTTTACCCTGGTATCTTCGCGGTCCTTTACAGGGTCTTTGTGCAGCAGCGTCGGCCATTGCTGACCTGCTCTCCTCCACAAGAAAATTGTCTTCCAGGGCTTTGAGACAAAATTCGCCACGGCGGCTTGACACTCCATTGCCAGTGTGTTGCCATACTTGCTTGGCGATTGACGCATACTCTTTGGGATATATCACGCATGAGAGGAGCGACGTCACTGCGGGGGACTCGGCATCAGTGCGGGTGCACGGGACGAAGTTCACGATTCGCACTCTTGAATATTCTTCTGGGGGTATCCTCGATAGAACGAACGAATGGCACACATTCGCGGTTTTTGGTGATGGAAATAGAGTAGCCGACTCGGTTTCGGGATCACCCTGGCGACGCATAACTTCTCGAGCAAGGCCCTGGATTATGGGATGGACGAAAAACCTCGGATAACCACATTGCATCTTCTTTGCGAGCCATTCAGCGCCTTCTTCATAAGCCACGTTTGCTTCCCACGTCGGAAGCGACACGCTGACTGCCTTCTCATTGTTAGCAACTTTACATGCAATTATGTTAGATCCCGCAAGAAAAAGGGCACTGTTGGCAATTAAATATGCCAAGTAAAGGTAGGATTGAATGTCCCTGTTCCACTTGATCCGTTCTGAATCATAGAAAGGGCGAGAGGGGAGGAGGGGCCCGAATCATTACAGGCGCGGGGCTTTCAAGAACGTACATGGTCTGTGTTCGGAGGGACAGGCCCTCCAACATCCTGAAGCATGACGAACAGTTAAAAGAAAAAAGGGCGATGCAAACAGAGAATGCAGGATAAAAGGTCAATTGCTCTGGTTTATTTCTAAATCGAAGAACAAAGCAGAGTAGGATCCTTGTTACTATATGACGGAATACACTATGAGTAATTTTCAGTTATCAGTTCTCCGAGGGGAAAGTCCAGAGCGACTTCGGAGACAGGCGCAGAATAATAATGCATTTGCGCCGATTTGCCCGCTGGACAATTGCCAGACCTAGCATATCAATGAAGTTTTATCTGACCCTCCATAGTAAAATTGACATATTCTGGAGATGGCCATGGGCATCTACGGTCATATAAGTCTCACTGTGGTATTAATCATTACAAAAATTGATACAGTCACATGACTATAGATACATCGGAGATCGGAGATTAGCAGATACGAGGGAAAAAAAAAAAAAAAAGTTCAACTTCCTGACAGGCAAAAAGCAAAGGCCCAACAACCACGATCGGGCTGCTCAGTCATCAATTCTTTCTTTCTTTCTTTCTTTCTTTCTTTCTTTCTTTCTTTCTTTTTTTCTTTTACGTCTCACCTTGTCCTAAAATGTCAGATCACACTGCGAAGAGAAGGAAAATCAGTCCTTCTCCGGAGGATGGGCAGAATGGGAACGACCAGGTCGCTTCAAAAAACGCCGACAAGAATGCTTCTTCAGTAACAACTAGTACAACCAAAAGAGGGAAAAATGATCGCACAGCAGAGCTTGCGCTTGCCAGTGGCTTTTACAAATCAAGCTTCTTTAAGCTACAGATGGACGAATTGTTGACCGAGTTGCGACCGAACTACGATAAACAAGTCTCGAAGATCCAAGGAACTCTCCACAAGTTGAAGGAAATAATTGAACGCGTCCCTGATCGTGAACCGAAGCTCGCATTAGTTGCCGAAAAAGAATTGCGCAGCGAACATGGCATTGTCGTCCCATACCCTGCGCCCCGGCCAGGAAAAGATACGAAGTATAGCGTGTCGTATACGAAGCCGACGAACGTCAATGTGGTGGGTAGTTTCGCTCTCAGGACGGGCATAAGGTCGCAAGAGGCGTATACGGTTGATCTGGCTGTGACGATGCCAAACAGCCTCTTCCAGGAGAAAGACTATGCCAATCATAGATATTTTCACAAGCGGGCATACTACATCGCATGCCTTGCTGCCGGTATTCGAGAAGCAGACGACTTGAATGTCGATGTTAGATTTGGATTTCAGGACGGGGACAGTCTCCGTCCGCTTGTCATCTTGCAGCCCGGAGAGAATAGCGACATGCCCGCTAGATCGCAAATCCGTATCATCACCGCTATTAACGACAAACTATTTCCGATTGCACGTACCTTGCCTTCGAAAAATAACATACGCCAGGGTTCGTCGGCAGAGAAGCCCGACCATGAAAAGTCCACGCCGTTTTACAATGCAGCACTTCGTTCTGAAGCTACTGTGGCTCTATATCACAAGTATATATATTCGGCTTCCCGGAAATGCGAAGCTTTTCGAGAAGCTTGTATCCTTGGCCGTACATGGCTCCGACAACGAGGATTTGGATCTTCGTTTCAAAGCGGTGGGTTTGGTGGGTTTGAATGGACTGCCCTCATGTCTTTGCTGTTTGACGGTGGAGGGCCGAATGGAAAACCCATTCTTTTACCATCCTACAGCAGTTACCAGTTGTTCAAAGCCACTATACAATTTTTAGTGGGCCGGGATCTCAGTGAACCCGTGCTGTTTTTCGTTTCCGATGTACCGCTTCCCCCTGGTGGCCCAGTCTTGTATGATGGCAAGAGAGGACTCAACCTTTTCTATAAGACCATGCCTTGGTCCTATGAATTGCTCCGCCACGAAGCCACGATTACTCTCAGGATGTTGAACGAGTCTCGTGATGATAACTTTGAAAAGGTTTTCATACTCAAAATAAATGAGCCCACGCTGAGATATGACCGACTCATCTCCCTCCCATATTCGGACAATGGAGACGTCCTCCAAACGATTCGTCACCAAGCCGCAGTGCATGGAGTGGTCTCAAAAGCACTCGGAGACAGAGCTGACCTAATTTCGCTAAGCAATCGCAGCATCGAACCTTGGGCAGTCGGCGGAAAGCCTTCATTGAAGAAAGAGGGCGGAAACATCAACATTGGGTTACTTTTAAATTCCGAAAATGAATCGCGTGTTGTTGACCATGGTCCGTCCGCCGAGGAGAAGGAAGAAGCGGCATCATTCCGAGCTTTCTGGGGGGAGAAGGCGGAACTAAGACGTTTCAAGGACGGCAGTATCCTTGAAAGTTTGGTGTGGTCTGATCAACCATCTTCGCCATCTATCGTACGCCAGATTTTGGGCTATATTCTTCGTCGCCATTTCGATATCACCGAGCAAGACATCGGGTATGTAGGCGATGAGTACGACGAGAAGCTCCGTATCGGCGGCGATGGCATTGTTTCGTATAACAGCCCGTCATTCCAGCTTATTTCCGATGCGTTTAACTCGTTAGAACGATCTATCCAGAGCATGGACGATGTACCATTAACGATTAGGCAGCTAGCTCCTGCCAGTCCCCTTGCTCGATACACTGCGCTTCGAGCTCAAAATAGCGACAAGCCAGCAGACATTGTTCTTCAGTTTGAAAGCTCCGCACGTTGGCCTGATGATCTCGTGGCAATCCAGATGACGAAGATTGCCTTCCTTCTGAAGATAGGAGACTCCCTAGAATCATCAGGAGCTGCTTCGTCGTGTCGGGTTGGATTGGAGAACGAGTCAAGCAAGATCCTGAACAATGCTTTCCTCGACATCATTCATGAAACTGGTGTTCCTTTCCGTCTTCGGATTCATCATGACAGAGAGCAGACATTACTGGAGCGTCAACTTAAAGACAAGAGTATTAGTCCGCGCACGAAGGAAGAGGTTGCTTATGCTCTGTCTGTCTATAAGCGTCATTTTATCCAATCGCCCCGTTTCACACAAGCCATTCGAACGCTATGCACTCGTTTCCTGCTACTATCGCCCACAATCCGCCTTGTCAAATACTGGTTCAACTCCCATATTTTCGCAGGCCATGTGAACGAAGAGTTGATTGAACTACTGACCGTCCGCACTTTCACCCAGCCATACCCTTGGGAAGCCCCATCTAGCGTTATGGTCGGGTTCCTGAGGACTCTCCATTTTCTTTCTCGGTGGGATTGGCAGCAGGAGCCTCTGATAGTCGACCTTGGCGGAGAATTAAACCAGGATGTCACTGAGACGATACGCACGCGATTTTCTGCGTGGCGAAGCATCGACCCTGCCATGAACGCCGTTGTTTTGTTCGCAGCGTCGGATGTCGACCCTGACGGAGTGACTTGGACCCAATACGAAGCGCCCCCCAAGGTCGTGGCCGCTCGTATGTCAACTCTAGCCAAGGCAGCGATAAAGCTACTGCGGGAAAAAGGGCGTGATCTCGATGTGCCCAGCCTCTTCCAGACATCCCTAGCACCATACGATTTCATCCTCAATCTTCGATCAAAGCTGTTCAGTGATCGCTCGTCTTCGACGAAATTCAAGAACTTGGCCGAGTATGGCTCCCAAGGGCGATCCGATAAGCTGGCAATCGTCAAGTCGTTTGTTGGCGACATTCAAGCATGTTATAGCGAAAGCCTGCTTCTTTTTCATGGCGAGGACGATTGCAAGGTCATTGCAGGCCTTTGGAATCCTCAGACGGCCAAGCCCAGGAGCTTCAATTTAAAGACGGCATACTCTACATCTCCTGTCCATTCAAAGAAGGGGCATAGTGATCAAGTTTCCGTCAATCATCCTGCGATTTTGAACGAAATAGCTCGGTTAGGTACGTCGTTGATCGACGGTATTGAAGTACAGAAGGCTTAATTTGGGAGGTGGATAATTTGCACATATCAATGTAATATACTACCAACTACGCCATAGCAATGCAAATGAACAGGAACAGAAAAGACAATCGTTTTGTGACATCAGATGCAAAAAAAGACAATAATATAAGTAAAAAGGAAAGTCATTAACAATGGTTTCTATCTCCAAATTCATGACCCTGTCCTCGACTTCTCAGACTTTTCGATCGCTGCCTGAGAAGAGAACGAACAGTAACTATCCTTGATCGCAACAACTTCGTAAGTACCCTCGTCGGAAGTCTTGATGGTCTTCTTATGCTCGTAAGAGATATCGTGCTTGATGTCGAGAATTTCAGGCTTCCTCCCTCTTGGTGCGTTTGAACTCCGAATATACCTGTCAATAGCGTTAGTTTAGTTTGCCTTCAATTGGAATGTGGGAAAGACTTACGTGAACTCGAATGGTGGCGTGCCCCAGAAATCGAAATGCAGTTCTGCCTCTCCACCTTCGTGAATATCCACAATCGAGGTTTTACCTCTGCTGATTCTGACGCTGGGCATTTCGTGGATAGTTTTTGTGATATTTTTGTGCGCTTTACACCTGCCACTGGCCGTGTCGCTCACGGCGTTGATGGTGAAAACGCCAGGCCGTTCCGCAATACGACGGAAATCAGAAGTTCGAGATGTAGCCTTCCTTTGAGCATCGTTGAAAGTATAGAAAACATCGAACGGTGCATGGCCGGACAACGTGAAAGAAAGACGCTCTCCAACACAATAATCAGTCTTTGACTCGAGAGGAATGATCGTTGGCACATCGGAGACGGCAACCCTAACAGACGAAGTGTCGAGCTCGCTCGTCCGCTGACAGCCGCGGGCATCGCGGACCTTACGAATACTGACAACATGTTGACCCAGGTCCAGATGACGTCTGGGGATGGCAAGTTTGTGTCGATTGGAGTCGATGTTAGGAATAGTGACAGTCTCTGGCTTTGATTTTGAATGGTGCTTGATGTTGATTTCCAGAGAAAATGGAGGAACGCCCTCCAGCGTGATCGGAAGGTGTTCCTTGCCATCGGCATCTTCCTTACAGAAACCGTAGATATGACCAGGTGAATCGAACCGTGCCGATGGTAACGGGTTAACTTGCTGAGAAATTACCAGAGGGCTGCTTCGAGGATCATGATCGTAAAGGTTATCACCAACTTCCGTGAACTTGTAAGTGTAGCTTCCAGCTTCTGAAGTATCCATTCCCATGGACGCCACGCTCATGGCGGTCTTCAAGCTTTGTCGCCGAACGGAAGATGAGCCGCGAAGCGTTTTCCGCTGCTGCTCGTACTGAAGGCTGTATGGAGGGTTTCCTGCAAGCCGAAGCTCAACGCTGGAGTCATCACCCTGGCACACTTCAGGCTTCGCCACGTTATTATCCGGCCCGACAGGAGATCCATCGACAGCTGTGACCCGCGGTCGAGGTATCCAAGAGATGTCGAATACTTTGGCGTACTGATCGACAGTTCCAGGGCAAGAGCCGTCAGTAACACCGACAAGCTCATAATGCCCCTCATTATCCACAATTAAGATACTGTTTTCCTGCCAGAGCACTTTCTCAAGTGTTGGAGAATTGGCGTCCCCAACCTTGTACTTAACGGTCCATGGCCGTTCGCCGCTTAGTCTGAGAGGAATGTCGACTTTCGAACCTTGCAAAGCCAAGACGCTTCTCTTTCGGTCAATTTGGCCGAACGACACATGGGGTGGCTTAGGGCGGGCGTCGACCTTGATATTGTCCTTCAAAATCCGCTTGCAGTTCGACCGGTCTTTGATATTTGTCAGGACAAGGTTGTACTCCCCACCGCTGACGAGTCGGTCGGTCACGATACTTGCGACATCGCTTTCAGATTCAAGAACATATTTAGTCTTCTTGCCGTTGTGGACAAGTTCGTATTGCAGGGTCCAAGGCGATTCGCCGATGAAGGCAATGTCGACAGATACTGGCTCGCCAAAGCAAGCTTTTCGCACTTCTCTGGATCCGATAAAATGGGCAGAGGCCGGAGGCTTGACATCCTGTTCTAAAACGGGTGTTTTGTCTTTCAAAGACCGCGGAGCATAGACAGCATCTGCAACGTCAAGGAAACGATATCGGTAAAAGCCTGCTTCGGAAGGTGTAAAATCAAGTTGAGTACGCAGTCCATCAACATTGAGCGACTTGGTCTCAACGCCTCTGGAATGCTCGACACTGTACCGAAGGCGGAACGGCGGCGAGCCCGTAAAGTCCAAGTCGACGAGTAACCCAACCGAGTTATTAGCACATTTGTCGAAGATCTTCTCATGTCGGACACCCAACTCAGGCTCGGGCGGGTTGTGCAGATAACACGAAGAGGGTTCCATGATATCTCCCGAGCAGTGTTGACTTGAAATGGCATCCAACGTATACCAGCCGGGATCCTTTATCTGAGGATTTAGGTCAAGACTCTTCAAAGATAATTGACGAGTCTTCTGGCCGGTTCCGCTAAACGAATATGTGAGTGAGAAAGGCCCGTCCCCGTTGTATCCTCTACCGACAGGCTGATATTTAACTGGTAGATCGATGCTGTCGCCTTTAGCAACTTCTAAGAAGTGCCGGTCATCGCATCCAGACAAGGACAATCGGGGTCTTTCGTGAACGGAGAATTGGTGCGACTGCGATGAGTACTTCGCTGATGGGCGGTCCATCTCGTCCAAGGCTGTCGAATAATTCGCCACGTTTCCAGAACCATCATGGATTTCCTCAATAGCGTAAAACCATTCGCCTCCAGCATTCAAAGACTCATTCAAAGGAACCTCAATTCTCTGGCTCTGAGCCCAGGATACGTCCATTTGCCGTGAGCTGAAAAGCGCACCGGTGCGCTTCTGGCTTAACAATGGCGAGCGCAAGCTATCCGGCTGGATGGTTTGGAAAGAAAAGCCGCGGTCAAGATTATTCACCTGCCTGCTGTACTTGATCTTCAATGGAGGCGTTCCTTCGACCTCCAATACCAGATTCGACAGCTCTCCTCGACATTTGTGTGTAATAGTGTTCTTGATAGTAGCACGAGGGCAGGGGACCACAAGTGCATCAGAGGCTTGCATGTGGACTTCAAGGTTGGATTTATCCACAACCCTCTGCAAACGATAGATTCCAGGCCGCCGCACTGGGTACAGTAGATCACGGTGGGATCCCGGATCGGGGCTCGACAGCTGCTTGTCCGCCTGACGCTTCATCTGCTTCAATTGTTTTGACGGGATAGAAATTGTCTCGTTACCACCGTTGTCGAAATCTAGGCGGAACAGCTCGATAATGATCGGGTCGGTTTGGTTGACACGGATGGGCAAGTCCATTGAGCTCTTGTGCGAATCTAGACAAAGTGGCGTATGATCCGGATTGAGAACGGCAGAACTAGACTCATCAGTAACCAGCCTCATAGACGGGAGAAAATACCAAGAATGAGAAAAACTTACCCCTCCGGCAGAATATGGACGATTTGCTTTCCCAGAATAAGCGATGAATTGTGAATGATGTCTCCCGGTTTGACACTTCGCTCAGAGATCGACAACTCCCTATCGTAAGCCAACTTGGCCACTCCCGAAAGCCATGCGGCCACTGGAATCTACTCCCAAATTAGCAGGATATTCCACCAGGCTTGTAGACGAGAGGAAACGACAAAGCCGCACGTACCGGAATGCGAAACATCAAAAACATATTGCCAACAATATGGATCAGAAAGATCGAAAGCGTCGTCGGAAAAGCCCATTCGAGCCATGGTATCCGCAGCGCCTGGAGACCGAAAAGGAAAATGCCGTCAATCAAGTTCCACTTCATGAAAAGCCATGTCGAATCCAGGTCGTCTGATGCAGACCAAGATTCATACAACCGCCAAGTATTGAGAGCAATATAAAACGCCACGACGTAGAGTCTTTGCGAAGGTGCATCTATCAAATTGGTCGGCACTAGCGGTGAAGAAGAGCTGTCGACATCCTGAGAGACTTTTGGGGTAGGATTGAGCTCTCTGGGCTCGCGAGGCCTAGGCGATTTGAATGCTGGAGTGCTGGGCCCGTAGCTTCCATAGTTCCTTGTTCGTTGGGCTGTCTGAGGCGTTTGAGGGAACGCAGACCGAAGTCGAGGAGTGCCGTTCATGGCATGCTGTGGTCGCGGAGATCACTTCTTTTGGGGAGATATTTGTGAGTACTTTGTAGTGACAGGATTTTATTCAGATAATTTGAGGGGAAGCGTACCTAGACCTGGGTGGGATGAAGAGGAAACAACCAGAGACCGAAAAATCCTTGGCGGTTCTCACTTGAGTACACGCAGAGATAAAAGGCACCAATAGGAGTTGGGACTATAACAATTAGTCCCCTCCGGAGAAAGGCAAGGAGTAAATGGCAGCACCTGTCTACCACCTGGAAATAGCTTTAAATCAGAGGGTAAAGAAAAATGATGACGGAGGAGAAGCAGCCAAAGCAGCAAAAGAAGTTCCGCGCGTGGAGTCGCGTTTGGAGCAGAAGCTTCGGCCAATCAGGTGCATGGGCCGATGACCTCTCTTCTACCAACATTCATTTGATTCATTCTTCCAGCAACTAAAAAAGTTCTTCTTACTTCCTCCTGGTCTATTCAACTGTGCTTAAGAAAACAAATCACTGCGCAATCAGATCAGATCATGAGTGGATGCGCCAGACCAAGGAGACCCAGCCCACAGTCTGGGGAAGAAGACTCCGATGAAACATCCCAGCCAATAGAACTGAAGCCAGATGAATGGAATGGATTCTGTGAAATTGAATCAGAGCCTGTAAGTCATTGGGAGTCGAGAAAAGGAGCATAGACCAAATATCTAACTCTAATCAAGGCCTTTTTCAATGTGATGCTCCGGGAATTTGGCGTCAAGGGCGTCAAAGTGCAAGAAGTCGTGTCATTAGAAGAGGAATTGCTCGCATTTCTGAAGTATGTTCTGTTAAATTGCCGGTTTCTTCTCGTGCTTCTCTAACCAATCCCGCTTCATGTGAACAGCAAACCCGTCTACGGCTTGATCTTCCTTTTTCGCTGGCGAGAGGACGATCCTGAAAAGCAGGAACCAAGCTGCCCTGAAGGGCTTTGGTTTGCCAATCAGGTTAGTGGCTTCAGGACCAGATAAACTGAATTAAAGGCTGATGCACCGAAACAGACAGCTAGTAATGCCTGCGGCAGTGTGGCATTATTAAACATCGTCAATAATATAGAAGGCATTGAACTGGGTGAGAATTTACAGCAGTTCAAAGATTTTACCATGTCTTTTACACCTGCATTGCGGGGCGATGCCATCAATAATTTCGAATTTGTCAAACGAATACACAATTCGTTTGCACGGTATGCTTTGCTCTCACCTTCCGTCAGTCTTCATTTCTGACAATGACTATTTAGTAAGATGGACATGCGCAATGTTGATCTACAACTGAAAAATGAAGCAACTTCCCGGCGGCGGACCAAAAGTACTCGGGACGACGAGGCAGACGCGGGATTTCATTTTATTGCATTCGTCCCAGCGATGGGTAAAGTGTGGAAGTTTGACGGATTAGAACGCCAGCCCCAGTCCATAGGAGATTGCCCGGAAAATGACTGGCTAGACTTGGTCAGCCCCAACATCTTGACGAGAATGGAGGAGTACGAAGAAGACCAGATTGAATTTTCCATTTTGAGCTTAGGCAGAGATCCTCTTCTTGGCCTTACGGAAAAGTTGGCTGTCAACGTCAAAAGTCTAGAGGTTGTCAATAAGCGCCTCAGGGACACGACCAATTCTGAGACTGCTACGGCCGACGACACTGAAGACAACACTATTCTGGGACCCGATGCATCATTATCCCTGACAAGAGAGGCAATCGACCATGCCGAAATCCCCGCAGATCAAAAAGAGGCGTACGAAAGTTGTTCTGAAGAATTGAACCAATGCCGTCAGAAGCTCAGTGAAGAACAGCAAGAGCTTCGGGCCGCCATCCGAGAAGAACAACAGTCAAAAAATGCCGACGATGACTATGCAGCAGGCCGGCGATACAACTATGGATCGACCGTAGGTAAATGGGTAGGCACTTTAGCGCGTAAAGGGGTCCTTGAGGATCAGGCTGTTTAATTATTCTTTTACGTGCTTGCTATAGATAGTAATAAGTATACTTCCGCGCGTGAACCTCGTGGGAGATTCGATTGGCCGACAGTTTCTCTCAGTAAAACAGTCTTTTGAGTCCTGTGATCGCCCATCGTGGTGTGTCGCTCCATTGTTCAGACGGTCAGGAAGACCTCTCTCTCTCTCTCTCTCTCTCTGTGTGTGTGTGTGTGTGTGTGTGTGTATCTCTGTTTCTATGGTAAAGGCATCCCTGAAGTCGACCAAAAAGGGTAAAAGAGAAGACGTCCGTCGTCATTGCGAGGGACACCGCCTGGACACCGTTTTTTCGCCAGGTCAATTCAATTCACCTCTGCGACTTTTGACTTCTACTATTTCTCTTCTGTTTTCTTTTACGACTTCTTCTCCTTCTAATATTTGCCGTACTCTGAAATTGATTACGGGTTTGCCACATAGTTTCTTGGTCTTCTCTTATTCATCATCTTATCATCGAGATTATCGTCATCAACCACCAACCAACCGCCCCTTCACCGTTTCTCTGTACTTTGACATTTCAAAGGAGAGAAGAGAACAATAATATATATTTCAGTATTCCGCCATGTCATCAGCGTCTGCTGCTACCGCGCCTGAAAAGGCACCGGACGACTCGTCAAAGTTGAAGACCTTCCTCTCTATCCTTCGGAAGTATGCGTTGACCTTACCACTTCCCATCGTTGATGTCGATATGCTCCGTCACAGTTCGCTCGATCGATACTGACTCAATGGCTTCGTGTCAGGTTCGTCGGTGTGGCAGACATTGCATCCGTCCGCTTCTCTTTACCTGCACATCTTCTGGAACCAACACCAAACTTGGGTAAGGTCCCAGACTTAATTATACACGCATTTGCAGCTGTGCAGTGGGCTGATAGATACTGGGTTATTATTCAGAATATTGGAACTATCTCGATAGACCGGAGACCTTTGCAAGGTCAGCAAGATAGCCTGTCCATCGTAACGTCACAACAACACGTTTTCTTCTGACACAGGAGTCACAGCATTGGCAAATCGGATGATGAATTGGGACGGATGCTGGAGGTCTTGCGGTTCTGGTTCACCAAGGACCTGGTATATTCCGTCTGAACATTGGTGTTTCTGAGAGATGGTTGAACTGAACCTATGGCAGAAATACATCAAGGGCAAGCCGTGCAAACCTTATAATTCTACGCTGGGCGAGTTTTTCCGGGTGAGTAAAATATATGGATGCGCGCACGTGTGTATGTGTGGCTAACCCTTTTCGTTTTTGGAATATCCAGTGCAAGTGGGAAGTCGAGGACAGCGCACCGGGAATATCCGTTCCCTCCGGTCCAAACAGCCAGAATGGGAGCACTTCTGTTGATGATGGTGGTGGTGGAAAACCGGTCAAGGTATGCTACCTGACCGAACAGACGTCTCACCATCCGCCAGTGTCCGCCTTCTACATCGAATGCCCCGATCGCGGTGTTTCGGCTCGGGGTTTCGATCAAATCAGTGCCAAGTTCACTGGCACAAGCGTCCGTGTTGTGCCGGGTGAATATAATCGGGGAATCTTCGTCAATGTCGAAAAGAGGGGCAATGAAGAGTACCAGATGTCCCATCCTGCTGCTCATCTTGGAGGTATTTTAAGAGGGGCACTGTCGATTACTGTCTCAGATACATGCTATGTCACATGTCCTAGAACACGCATTAAAACGATCCTCCAGTACCAAGAGGACAGTTGGATTGGCCGGGCCCAGTACAAGGTTGAAGGCTTGGTCTTCCGGTACAACCCAGACAACGATACTGCGACAAAAATAAAAGACGTGCCGGAAGGCGATGTCTTGGCCCGAATCAGCGGATCGTGGCATGGCCAAATTCACTATACTCTAGCCGGGACAACCGATTCCCAACTGTTAATCGACATCGCTCCTCTTTTCCCAGCTGCTAAGACTATCCCTCCTGAGGAGATTCAGTTGTCTAATGAGTCTCGCAAGTTCTGGTCGGGGGTCACAGAAGCCATCCTGGACAAGCGGTACAGCCAAGCCACAAAGCTGAAGCAAGATATCGAGGAGCGACAGCGTCAGAAGGCGGCCGAACGAAAGCAAAACAACGAAACATGGCAGCCGCGCTTCTTCACGAGTCCAACCACAATTTCGGGCAAACCGGAGCTGACTGAAGAAGGTCGTCAAGCACTTCAGGGAGTAAGCAATGGTGAATATAAACTGGAGGAAAGCGAAAAACTGGGCGCATAGATCTTCCCTTGTCCAATTGTCTTAATGATTTTGTTTTGTTGATATGTCAGCGCAATCAGTGAGAGATCACGACTCTTCAGTTATTTTCTTGGTTTGTTTGTGTACTTCTGATGAGAATATTCTCGGTACCAATTGAGAAATCAATTGTTAGTCCACATTTTCTCGAGGCCGGCCTATATAAGGAAGACAAGACTGTACGATATCTCTAATTAGTTATGGTCAAGATAAACCTGGCCATGACCGAATATATTCTGTAACCAAAACAATATTCACCATCCACAGGAAGTAAGAAAAGTAGAAATTATATACAATCCAAGAGTAACAAATAAACAGACAACTCGTTCAACCATGATCATGCATAATCCCCTAGTCAAGTCCTCCATCCAGTATCACGCCGTTACTCCCAATGAATCAGAAACCCGATTCTCATAAAACGCATTATAATCCATGACAAATAGCACCAGGCCTAAGCAGCAGCAGCAGCGGTGGCGGCAGTGGCTACCTTATTGAACCCGGCTGTCACCGTCTTGGTGATATCCTCATTCTTATGCGGCAAAAGGGACAAGGCATACGCGACATCGTTCCACTGCCGCTCTGTCTCGCATCGAGGAAGACGAGCGGCAAGTTTCTCTGCCAATTGCCGGGCGTGTTTTTCCTAGATAAGTATTGTTATTAGTTGTCTGCAATAGAAGAACAAAGAAAATAGGACATTGAGAGCATACCTTTTCAACGAAGCCAATCAAGAATTTGATGATGCGGCGCAAAGAAGTTTCCTCGAGGTTGCGCTCCGCGCTCAGCAGACTAAACATGTCGACAAAGTGGTTGTACACTGCGTTATCCTTGCCAGCCAGTTCTGTGAAGAACATGCGCGCCAGATCAGCAATCCGCTTGTCGCTGTCTTCCAGACACTTGGCCATTTCACCGAGCTGTCCTTTGACCTTGACTTGACCCGCCAGAATCAGGAAGGTCAGCGTCATGAGACAGGTACGTTTGACTGAGTGATCGTCATCATTCAACCGCCGGTACAGGAAGTCGGTGTTCTCGTCGATAAGGTGGTTAAAGCAGACCGCCATGTCACCAAGGGCAATGACCGCATTGCTACGGACTGTCGGGTCCTCAGAGCGCTCCATGATTGTGATCAGGAGTGGAAGGTTCTTTTCACAGTACTCAGCCGAGACGCACATGAGTTTCGCCATGCATAGAGTCGCCGCTGCTTGTAGGTTGCGATCCGAGTACGTGTTACTGTTTGCGCAAATCTCTTCAACCAATGGTCCAAAGTTGGACAACAGGGAGTTCTCCCCGTACAAGAGTTCTCGCTCACGAATGTGGTTCATGGCATCTGTGAAGTCGTCTTCGGTCGTTCCACCGATCAAATCCAATTCGTCATCTTCTGCGGATTGGTTGTTTTGAGCCGCTTGGCTGACCGGCTTGTTTTTCTCCTGCTCTGCCTTGCGGCGCTTAAAGTCGAGTTCGCAAAGCTCGAGATGAACGATTTGTTTGATTGCGATGTGACCGACAACGAATAGCAGTTGGGAAAGAGCAGCAGATGTGGTCTTGGGCCTTGCACCCTGGCCATCTGACGATGCTGTTCCTGGGCGTTGCTCATCGCCGTCTGCGGCCTCCGCCGATGGGGAAGGTCGTTGCAATTGTGGTTGAAAGACGAATCTGGTCTTCCGTTTGAGAATATCAGAGCACAGTACGTCCGGATGTTTAGACAGTGCATAGATCGCACTGACAGCTTGTTCTGCCACTCCAAACCACTCCTTGCTATCCGATACGATCTCAACCATGGCGGCAAGCTTGGCAAGAACAGGGTGATCATTCGTAAGTTTTGGAATACCGGCGTCCTTTGATTTGGCCTGGCGACCAGGTACCATTCTCCGTAGCGCGACACATGTATACTTTGCAAGCACAAGATCTGCTCTTCCGAGGCCCCCAAGACCGATGCGCAGCATGGTTTCGATCTCTCTGATGACAACTTCGGGATCCGCCAAAGCAAGCATTCCAAGAACGATGATAGCACCTCGGCGCTGCGTCTTGGATATTTCCTTCTTCTGAACACCGTAAACTTGCCAGAGCTTCGCGATGACAGCTTCTGAAATGTGACCCGCATTCATCATCGTACTAAGTAACTGTTCAAGGCAAGTAAGTTCGGCAGGAGTCGAACCAAACGTTAAACTGATCATGTTCCGGGCAATATAGTTAGCAGCGTCATTGGTGCTAAAGGAGTCTGGCGCTTCGAAGAAAAGCCCCTTGTAACAGTCGATCAAATGTGTCTGCACTCCTTTACCCTCATCACTGTTCCCTTTAGTCCAGATCAGCCGCAGCATTCGCCGAATACCGCTGCGCGCAGTCTCAATCTTGTAGGCATCAATCATCACGAAGAAATCCATCGCTTCGATAACCTCACTCTTATTTTTAGATGATAAGAGCTGGGAGACGGTTCCAGAGGCCGTGTGGAGGACTTCGATAAAGCGAATAGCCTCGCTGTAGTACTTTCTCGTCAGTTGGAGTCTGGTAAGCAACTCAGATGTTGCTGCTTGTTCTGCAGCCTTCTGCATCGCTACAGCTTTCTGTTCTTCTGTCATCCGAGGCGCTTTGGAGGGAGAATCTTCTGGCAACTGTGTTGCATCGTCCAAAAGTTCACTGTCAATTTGCATACCCTCGTCTCCGTCAAAGCCAGGTGTCTCAGGAGGCCTCAATGCATTCAACTCGACGTCGACAGCCTCAAGCCGGGCATTCCATTCTTGGTAAGAAAGTTGTCCTCCATGCATGACGCTGAATGGATGAGTCGCGACCAGCTTTCCGAGTAGCTTTATCGCATTTCGTCGCACATTGCTGCTCTTATCCTCCAAGCTTCTCGCTGCAAGCTCAGCAACTGCCTGTCTGCGTTTGGGGAATTTCTGTTCGAGGTCGCATATCTTCAAGTACACTTGGATGGCTCGGCAGCGACAGTAAGGGTTGATGTCAAGGAAGCGCTCTTCGAGGACGTCGAAAAAGGCGTTAATTTGCGTCTTGTAGTTTTCACTTGGCTCTTCTTGTTTACTCAAGTCAATGAGGAGGTTTCCGCAGACTTCAATCACGGCACAACGGAGGGTATACGACTGTGAAGGTATTTAGTTCCCTTTCGTTTGCGATCAGCGCAGGGGAGGCAGCGAAGGAGCACCATACCTCGCTATCGAGCTGCTTCGCCAAGAGGGTCATTTGTTTAATGATTAAGCGAGGCGTAAGTTCTGAGAGCTTCACGATAAATGCAGACACCGATTTCGGTCCCCTTGTATCGTTGGAGTTGAACTCCTTGTTCGCCAGTTCCCTGTGCCAGGTTAGCCTATTGCTCATAGCCATGTCATATTTCGGCGCGAAAGTACTTTAGAATCTCATCCGAAAGTTGTGGATAGTCGTATTGTTCTGCAAGGATATGGAGGAACTCTGCCATCGGCTCGGATAAGTGTTCGAAGTACGTCAAGCTCTGTACAATCGATGTCTGGGCTCCTAAAGTGACCATTCTTTTAGCAGCTTGTTCCCATTGTTTGCAACATCAAGAAGCTTACCGAAGGCATGACCATGATGCTTGACGGCGATGCAAAGGACCTTGAAAGCATGCATGCGGATTGCCATGCTCTTTACCCGTTGCTCACTCTCCAACATGAGGTAGACTGAGCGGGTAAACAGATTAATGAAGGTGTCACGGTCTGAGGTGGTCAGGAATATGCGGCCAAGTTTGAGTTTCATAATTTTGCACATTGTCTCCATGGACATCTGGATTTGGGGCGTCCAGTCCCAGTGGCCGTCTCCTCGCGCGCTTGCTTTGGACTTGGACTTCCCAGCGCCCCTCCTTGCCGGTGCAGCCTCCGCGGGCTTTTCGGCCACCTTAATTTCAACAGCCGACAGAGCCCACTGAAGCAAGAAGCCGTACATCTCCAATAGCTGCTTGTGGTGTTGAATGGAATCTTGCTCATCGGACTCGAGATCGCCGTGGATGGTGTCCGCTTCGACTGATAACCCGGATACAACTAGATCTAGAAGTTTGCTGAGGGAGCGCGTAGGGACGAAGGTCGAATACCTATTAAGAGTCCACAAGTTCAGCGCTCAATCCATCAAAATCGGAGTGATCAATGCACACTTTAACAAAAATTGTAATGAGTCAAAGAAGGATGACCTGGCCAGTCCTTCCGGGCTCTCTGCTACTCCATCCACAACGGAGTTCAACACATTGTCGACCAGTGTAGTTGATAATTGATCGGGGTCTGATTCGCAGTCTAGCAACTCGGAATCGGCATCGGGGGTGGGAACGGAGGTCGGGTCACTCAAGTAGAACTTGAGCGACTCGTTGATATTGAACTGGATCCTGTCCTCCATTATGGGTGAGCCTCGACGAAAAGAGGCGACAGATAGGGGAAGAGCAGGATCAAAATATGGAGGGGTCGAATATCGCGGGGTTTAGAGGCGAAGGGAGGAAGACAAAAACGAGTCGAGATGGCCGACCAGCGATGAAAACCAAACAAACATGTCGTTTGTTTGTATTTTTCCTATTCTGTACGCCCCGATAGCGCTATCGCATACGTATGTGACGTACTGTAATTCTGCTCTACACGTTTGATTGGTTATGGTCGAGAATACAGGTAATACACATGACACCGTATTGTACACCAGCGTAAATAAACAGCGACCATACCAGATCGGGCGACTTTCGCTCGCCGCTCTAACGGGCAAAAAAGAGACGCGCGCCAGACACATGCATTCGCGACTCGAGGTTGCAGACAGACGCCAGCGACGACTTGCACGACTAGTAGCGATTTCTTTCTCGATTAATTAACTGAATTGGTACTCCATTATATCAGATTTGAGGTCATATTCTTCCGACCGTCGTGAATAACCCCATTTATGTGATCCTCGTTGAACCCCTCACGCAAAGTGAACTCCCCTCCACTACTGCTTCGCCTTATATTCCCATACTATGTCGGCCCACCCAGCTCCTGCAGGAGTTTTCGAGCTGCAAAGGACCGACTCTCTGATACAATCTCGTGCGACCGGACCGAACTACGTGGTGGAAGATGATGCAGCGACAGATAGTGATGTCGAGAATCAACTCCAAGAGCAGAGCGATTTCGAAGATGATGAGGATATTGATGACTCGGTAAAGGAAGACATGAGGAAGCTGGAGGATTCATTTCCGGGAATTTCAGATCGATTTCGGTTGGTAAATAGAATTGGAGAAGGTAATGTCTTGCTGCATCTTCTCTCCGCGTTTCAGACCTATACAAATGAAGCCGAAAAGAAAAGAGCTTGTGACTGACGCCTGGTAAATTGCAGGTACATTCTCTACGGTGTACAAAGCAGAGGATCTCCTATACGATCATTATATCAACGACTGGGATATGTTTCAAGACAGCCAAAATGACACCTGGGAAAGTCCACCATCGAAACGGCGCCGGACCGAAGGCGATAATGGGAACGGTCGATCAGCGCCAGTAAAGCAAAAGAAACCGCGATACGTCGCATTGAAGAAGATTTACGTGACAAGCAGTCCGCTCCGGATTCAGAACGAATTAGAACTGCTTCATGATCTTCGTGGCTGCAGGTCCGTGTGTCCTCTGATCACTGCTTTTCGACATCTAGATCAGGTCGTTGCCGTCTTACCGTTTTTCCCTCACTCCGATTTCCGCATCCAATACCGTACATTCATGGTTGCCGACATGCGCCATTACTTCCGGTCTCTGTTTACCGCATTGCAATCAGTTCATAAGCACGGCATCCTGCATCGAGATATTAAGCCAACAAACTTTTTATACAACCCTGACATCCGTGAAGGCGTGCTGGTGGACTTCGGTCTTGCAGAGGTAAGTTAGGGTTTTTTTTGGAATAAGTCATAGAAGTGACCTAACCCGTGAACAGCGCGAAGGATCGGAATACACTGGTACCTGTCTTTGCACTAGCTCATCTGTGACGCGTCGAACCCGAATACTCCATAGCTATTACAGCACTCACTGCAACCCCGGCTCGTTATCCGTTGGCTATCCTAAGAATGATTCGCGGCCGTCGAGACGGGCTAACCGAGCAGGGACTCGTGGATTCCGAGCCCCGGAGGTCCTTTTCAAGTGTACCTGTCAGACAACTAAGATTGATATGTGGTCGACCGGTGTGATTCTGTTGACCTTACTTGGACGCCGTTTTCCATTCTTCAACTCGGCCGATGATATCGACGCCATGATCGAAATGGCGAGCATCTTTGGTACACGTCGCATGAAGGCCGCTGCGGCATTGCATGGGCAAATCTTCGAAACAAATATCCCAACAATTGGCGAAAAGGGTTACAGCTGGGAGAAACTAGTGAAATGGGCCAGTTGCGTTGAAGAACTGACAGAAAGTGAAAAACAAGCCACTCGTCTTCTGGCCGGTCTCATGGAACTCGACCCGCATAAGCGCCTGAGTGCGAAGGAGGCATTACAGCACGAGTTCTTCACGGACCCTAGAGACCATGATGTTGCATGGGGAGGGCACCCTGATAGCGGCGATTCGGGGGAAGAAGACGAAGGAGAGGTCGAACAAGATGAGGCGGATGAAGTAGCAATGCTGTGAGAAGAGCAGCCTCAAAAAAGAAACAAAAAAAAAAAAAAAAAAGAAAGAAAGAAAGACCTGTCATGTACATGTATGAGTATGATATCCTATGTGGCGTTCCTAATGCTTAACTTTAATAACAAGGGCTTTGGAGGTGGTTTGTATTCTGCATGAACTGTTGGTTCCTACTATGCATTTTTGCAATCTAATTACTCTGTACTTACAGTGTCAATAATAGAGAATGGACTAAAATGGTCGCTGCCTTTCCAACCCTATGCATTTGACGCACCGAACAGATAGGGAAAGGGCCTGAGAAATCTAATATATAATCCCCCACTGTACACATGAACATGTCTATCATTATCTCCAGACTGCATAGAGTTAGCCAGCCTCGCCAAAGTCATAATGCCTAGTTTGCGCCGCATGTTGTGTTGCACCTTTCTCCCCGATAAACGTGTCCCCGCATGTGTTGCAGCGAATGCGAAAACCTGTGGTGTCTGTGTAGTAATGTTTATCCTGCAAAACCCGACACACTTCCAATGATTTCTCTAATACCACTGGGTCGGCCGCATCAAATACCTTTGTATCGAAGTCGGGAGGGGCGTAGGTATGGGTAAAGGGAGCATCTGACGGTGACAAGGCAATGGTATCATAATGGATCCCAGAATAGACCAGAACACACCGGGTCGGCGGGCCTTCGTTGAAACGGTCCACCCGGAGCGTCTGCACATCAATCGAACAGATCTCAATATCGAAATGCTTGCTCAAAATGCTGAGCTCGATCCCTCCACCCCACGAATCCTCATTTTGGATCCAACGGCAATAATCGTCGGGCTTCTTCTCAAGAACTGCCTCCGAGTACATGTCGGAGTTCGCTTGGATTGTCTGCGCAACGATTGACCGTAATTCATTCATAGTGTCCATCCCTCCCATAATAGCACTTCCTATCGCGCGGAAGAGACATGAGTTATCATCGGGCATGATACGGAGCACAAAGGTGCCCGAGTGGTCGGGTGACGGTATCTCCGGGGGGTCATTTGAGACGCCCTCGTGTGACTTGCGCGATAAAGAAAGAGTTTGATCTGGATTTCGAGACGGAGCAGCTGATGTTCCAGTAGTATCCTCGCCACTGGGCGCTGGCTGGGGTGCGCCCTCCTGCCGGGTGACGATGAGCTGTTCGCCGTTCAGTTTAACATCAATTTCCGTAACTTTTTGGCTTCCGGAATAGCCTTCAAGCTCTAGCGGCTTGAGGTCGGGATATCCATATTTAACATCGAACGCCGTCAGTCCTGTCTTGTCCGTGATCTGCGTGCGGAGGTCGTCGACGGTAGCGGAATCGTCCAGGGTAACTGTGGATTGGCCCTCAGGACCACGGACTCGGATTCTCATTCTCGAGACTCGGTTGGTGCGCTATATAAGTCGTGAGGATGGACCTATGCTTAGAGTATATAGGGAGAAATGGGTAGAAGTGAGAGAGAAGAGGAAGGAAGGAATGGTTTAGTACATGTGGTGGCTCACGATAGTATCAGGGCGATAGCGAGTGGGGCAAGAAGCAGCCATGGAATGCATGTTGGATATCAGTACGGATTGTATAATAGCAGGATATATGGTACATATAAGAACAAGAAGACGCCTGTTAAATTGATTCGAAAATATCCTACGCCGTACAGAGTAGAGACTCTCTTCCATCTGAAGTCAGCATAGATCAGATGCGCGGCACGTGATGATGTCAGACATTGTATTTGTTACCGTACCATACCGTATTGTATTGTGAAGCTTCTGGCTGAGTCAGCAAGACGCTCCTCTTCGTGCGCTCTTCTTTCTCTTCTCGCTCTTTTCCAGGAGACGAAAGGGCAATTGCTGTCCATTAACGATCTCAGCGCCCGCATTTTTGCGCCATTTCCGTTGGTTGTGCGATCAGTGGACCTGGGTTTTCTGCCGTGGTCCCTTCCCCAGAAAACATGGAGCCGTCGCAGGCCCAATCTGAGGAGCCCGTCAAGTCGATTGAGGATGATAACAAGGGTGACGGTCAGAATGGAGCTCCTATCCCGGATGATCTATGGAGGACCATGATAGATGTGGTCCTGACCATCTATGAGGTGCGCGAAGAAGAGTAAGTTTGTCCTGCCGGCGTTCCTGACCGCGGCTGCTGTCGCGCTCCACCCGCGATGACATGACCGCATGCGAGAAAGAGAGAGCTCTAATTAACTATTGCTTTAACCGCCGCAGTGGCCACGACCCTTCGAGATTGTTCCATCGCAGTGTCAACAAACGCTATGTGCCCGATTATTACGAGGTTATCAAGGAGCCAATGGCCCTCAGCATTCTCAAGCAGAAAATCAACAAGCGAGAGTACAGGAGGTTCTCAGATTTCGTGCGAGATTGCGCACTGGTACGGATGCGATATTCCCCCAGTTTTTTCCTCTATACACTCCGTTCCATTTGTCGCAAGGTACTGACGGTCGTCGCGTCTTCCGCTATTAGATCTCGCATAATGCGCAAACCTACAATCGCCCAATGTCGCAAGCCTACGAGGATGCGCTTGTCATCAAGGTACGTGCGGAAACAGTCGCGCCATCGATGGGGAGAGCACTTGCTGATCCCAAGGTATAGGATGTTTTCGCCCAAGAGTTCAATAAGCTGGCCAAGCAAGGAATAATTACTGCCCAAGAGGCTCAACTGCCTGATCTCGGAGAGATCCCCGACCCGGATCCTCTTCCCGAGGAGGAGGAGGAGGAGGAGGAGGATGACGATGACGATGATGACGAGGACGACTCCGATGATGAAGGTCGCCATAAGAAAAAGCGTGGCCCTAAGCCCAAACGCGATGGAAAAGACGACGGCCAGAAAGAGCCTGAGATGCGGAAGAAGCGAGGCCGGCCGCCGCGTGTGGACACCCCGATGGAGACCCGGATCAAGGCAGTCCTGAAGGGGATTCGGAAGTTGAAAGATTCCAGCGGCCAACTGAAAGTGCGACACTTTGAACGACTGCCAGACAAGGGAACTTATCCGGACTACTACATGGAAATCAAAGAGCCTGTTGCAATCGACCTCATCAAGAGAAAGTCGAAACGGAAGAAGTATCAGTCGGTCGATCACTTCATGAGAGACATGAATTTGATGTTTAATAACGCCAAGGCCTACAATCAGCCTGAAAGCCAAATATACAGAGATGCCGTCGACTTGCAGTTGGAATCGCGCAAACTCGCTGAGCTCGAAAAGAAAAAGCCCGACAGCGAGTATTTGATGGAGGACGGACGTTTTCCGTTGCCAGACGGTATCCTCTACAAGGGTGAGATGTGGAAAGTTGGCGACTGGGTTCACATCCAAAACCTTAACGATGTCACGAAGCCCGTCGTGGCACAAATCTACCGTACGTGGCAGGACCCAGAAGGCGAAAAATGGGTCAATGCCTGTTGGTATTATCGGCCCGAGCAAACCGTTCACCATTACGAAAAGCATTTCTACCCCAATGAAGTGGTTAAGACGGGCCAGTATCGTGACCATCGCATCGAAGAGGTCATTGATCGTTGCTTCGTCATGTTCGTTACCCGCTACAACCGCGGACGGCCAAGAGGTTTAGCTCCGGAGAAGGACGTGTACGTCTGTGAATCTCGGTACAACGAAGAGAAGCACAAGTTGAACAAGATCAAGACCTGGGCAAGCTGCCTTCCGGACGAAGTGAGGGAGAAAGACTACGAGATGGACCTCTTTGACATTCCGCGGAGGATCAAGAAAATCCCCAGTCCGATTAAACACCTACTGAATAAGGATGCAAAGGAGACGGATAATCTTCCTAGGGCGACTTGGGGAGCAGAAAATGCACCACCAGTTGTAGGAGCGGTTCATTGCCGTCCACGAGATGAAAACGTGAGTTCTCTTGCTAGACCAGAATGGAAGGAAAGACTGACACAACCCAGGAATCTCCACCACCTGAGCCAACACCATCTCCTCCCCCTTCTCTCCCCCCATCTTCTCTGCCACCTGCTTCTCGGCAACCACCTATCAGTCAGAGTCCTGTCCAGCCGAGCGTGGATAGCCAGGGTAACATTACAATGGCTGGTGTTCCTCCTGTGCCGATACGTTCTCCGGCCGCACCCGTTGTACCGGCTCAAGGTTCTCCGGTGCCTGTGCCTTCCGCATCCTACCAATCGCCAAATGTGGCACCGGCCCAGGTGTACCAACCTGGTTTGCAAAGACGCCCTAGCTTTGCGCCTCCAACACCCAGTGTACCTTACCCAGGAGCTACGGTTTCTAGCCCGTATGCAGCTGCCCAGGCAACCCCGTATTCACCATACCAGACAAACCGCCTGGTCCCGCAGCCGACAGTGTATAACCCTAACGCACCGCGCCCCATCGAAGTCTTCCAACTAAGCGATGCCGCCAACGCCGCAATCCCCGCTGACATACGGGAACAATTCCACTGCGACGACCACGGCCGTGTCCTCTTCTTTTCTTCACTCCCAATGGACATTCTGCCCTCGTCGCGTCAAAAATTGGGCCATTCCCTCAAATATCTCGCAGCGAAAGAGGAACGTCGGAAGAAAGTCGAAGAGCGCAAGCGAAAGGCATCTGAGCAGGAAGAACGAGAAGAAGCGGCCAAACGCGCTCGTGCTGACGAGGAGTCCGCCCTCGCGACTCGTGTGGAGGCACTCACCAACCGCGCTGTCGAGACTATGACCAACGAGATTGTGTCTGGGACGGACAAGATCTACGAGGCCCTTTATCAGGATCAGGCGGACGCGGCCAAGAGTGCTGATGCCAAGGTCCGCGAGCAGCGTGTTGTCATCGACAGGGCTACACAGGAGCAGACGGCAGGTATCAAAGCGCACACCCAAGGCGCCTCTTTTGTGAGTCTTAGGGGTAATGCCGTCTATATGGATGATATAGAACCGAGGAGTTGATATCTTATCGATGGAGATGGGAATGGAATGAGATGGCAGGAATAAGGGAAATACGACCAGGCTTGGTTTTTATGGGGAGCAAAGGCGTAATACCATAGACGGGTGTCTGGTTCTGGGCAGGTGGTGCAACTGTTCATGTATACTATGAAAGATACAAGTTTTTAATTCATCCATTGTTTCATCGATTTGTGCTTGTCCAGTAGTCCTCTGCTTTTTTTGCTTGAGAGAATTCGTAAATAAAGACATTGAGAAATGTATTTGCATATTGACAGTACCTGAACCACTGTACAGTACCTTGTGAGCAACTATAAAACTAATAACAAATATATATATCATCAACTCATGATAGACAGGAGAGACCAAGTAAAAACAGACGACCCCGAATCGTTGTACAAAAAAATGCTGGGCAGGTGATAAATAACAGGGTGGACTCTCCTGGTTGCAATCTCAGAAACACCGTTATTCCAAGCCATCCTGAAACAAATAAATCCAAAATATGTATCTAAATACTGAATATCGACCCAATGCAGGCACCGAAAAAAATAAGAAACAAAAAAAAAAAAAAAAAAAAAAAATGTTTTGTGGTAAGACTTCCCAGAGCCATGGCCATGGCCGTTTCTATGCAAAATCATCCGCCAAAACAAGAACAGAATGGAAGAAAAACAGAGAATAAACGCACTCCATATGAAAATGACTGATGTGTTCAGATGAGAGAAAGATGGCTGGGGACTGATACCTCAGCATGTACTTTTATGTTCCCTTTTGAGTTTTTTGTAAACCTTTTGACTCCTGTTTTTTCTCTCTCTCTCTCTCTCTCTCTCTCTCTTTTCCTTTCCCATGCTCACTTTTTAGGCATTTTCAAGATAATCGTGACTAGCTGGCGCTGACCTCATCGTTCGAATCCTCCTTGTTGGCGTCCCACGAAATGCTGCTCCGCTTGTTGTTCTCTTCCTCTTCCATGGAGAAGACCAAGTCACTCTGCTCTTCCTCATCGATCGTGCTGGTGTTGACGGGCGACGAAACGGTACGGTCCAGACGGCTGCTCGCACCCATGGACGAGGAATGACGTGCAGAGCCAGGATGGAGAGACATGTTGCTGAGCTGCTGTGAAATCATGGATGTTGACGATTGTCGTGCAGGACTGCCAGCGCTTCGACTTCCGATGGGGCCGAGACTGGGACTCGTGCCCATGTTCAGAGAAGACTCACGAAGAGAAGACTCACGAAGGGGAGAACCAACTTGAGGGAGCGACGTGCCGGTTGCATGACCTTCTTCTTCCTTCTTTTGTCGTTGCTTAGCGAACAACGCACCGAAACGGGACGGGCTGGAGGCGAGGGGAGAGCCCATTTTGGAGAAACTGGAACTGGCCATGCCGAGTCCGCTCATGTCACGGTGACTCGAACTGAGTTCGTGTTCCGTGCGCGACAGTCGTCGAAGCTTTTCCTGGGGGGTAAGGACATCATCATGCAGATTCATAGGCAAATAGTCTTCTTCCATTGGGAAATTCTCGTCCCATTCGTCCAACATAGTCGGTCGAGGAACACTGGCGGATAGCATCTTAGGTCTCACTGCTCGTTGTGAGTGTAAGAGTCGCGTTCCTATCGCTTCATCTTGCATTCCCGGAGGCGACGATCCCATCAAGGACTGCTTTCGTAGGTCGGGGGCGTAAGCCGTATCGCGAAGGTTTCGAAGTGCATCCGAAGGTCCAACTCTCTGGGCAGGCGGGGACGACAGGTCGAGCCCGAATTTCGATGGCATCGAGGCAGCCACGGGACCATAGCGAGCTGCATGTGAGATTCCTTCGCTGTCAAATGATGCAGGAAGCGGTGCATCGAGAGCAGTCAGGTGGTTGTTGGGTGACATGGGAAACCGAATATCATCGACGGGCGAACCGGCTTCCGGGGCCAGTCCCGCATCAATCGAGGGAATTGCATCGTATGGAGCTGCTGGCGGCTGGGGTTGTTGCTGCTGCTGCTGCGCATGCAAAGCGGCGAATTCTTCTTGTGGCGGAAGCTGCGAGACGTATCGGGGGTCTTGGTTGCTCATCATCCGCTGCTGCGAGAGGACTGAATTCGTCAAAGCCGAGTCTTGGTTGATATAGGCCTGCGGGTTGATGCGACCACCCAAGTTGAGGTGGCCTCCACCCATTCCCAGGGAAGGACTTGGTCGATTCACTCGTCGTCCATCCGGGAGAATATGCGCAAGCGCACACTTTGCTCCGAACTTGCAGTTGCCCTACAACAAAAGAGAAAAGCAGTTATGTTAGTTCGACTGCTACACTCCCTGTAGTATTAAAGCAGAAACAAAAGCAAGAGGAATAGGTCATACCTTGGTGAAATATTTACAAGGCGCATAGTCGATCGCCGCATCGGTCGAGTGTAAGAACGGACAGGCTGGACCGGCCTGGCAAGCTCCCTGACGGAAGAACTTGCAGGGAACATGCTTGGTATCTAAATTCCAGACAAAGTGTCAGTTTGTATTCTTTTACAATCTTTTGCTTTCCTCCGTCGCCTCTATTGTTCGAAGCAGGCAGAGGCAATAGGTGGTAAAAAATCTGAGGAAAAGCCACCACGGATTGTTCTTACTGCTTTGATTTGGAGGACTGCGAGCAGCCATATCGTATCCGGAGAGATTGCGAGAATGACCGTTCTGAGCAGATGGCGTACCGGAGGGAACAGGTAGAGGAGGATTAGAACCACGACTTCTCAACTCACCCGAGAGGCGGTTCTGGGCCCGGGGACCGTTATTGGAGGAGGCGGAGGCGGAGGGAGGGGAGAAAGGAGCAGGAGGAGGATTCTGGGAAGCAGAAACCTGCATCTCCATTGGGAAAGGAAAGGGAAGTCCCGGGGAATTAGAGAACGTATTAAAAGAATGAACAAAGATATAATGGAGGAATGGGAAGAGAGAAGTCGAAGTCGGAGGAGGGGTTTATCGGGCAGAAGAGATCGAGGGGGCGCCTTGGCGGTGAGAGAGTTGGCAGGAGAAGAAACTATGGACAACTATGAAGATCAAATAGACAAGATGACAAAAAGAAAACAAGTGAATGCGAATTGTCGATTGTTATATGGGATATACCTGTATAGAGTCAGCAGTCACTTGAATAGTCAATAATCATCCAATAATGGCCGATTCAACTTTGACCACCCAAGGTACACGACATAGCCTCAACTCTCCTCACTAGTTCCAATCGTAGCTTCAATCCTTCTCCGTTGCTCGCACTCGCTTTGTCATTTGGGTTCGATCTGTTGCAACTGATTAGCAATCGAATCTATTTTGCGACACGCTCGCCAACCGCAAGTATGTAGAATGACGAAGCAATTGAGCAGCAGTTCGCCCTCCTCCGCTCCGAAGGCAAAGGCGCATGACGTTGCCAGATGGTCCTGCAACATAGAAGAATCGTCCAGGCAAGATGTGTCGTCATCTCCTCACACGCCGTGACAACCTGACCTTGTCGCATGCATCTTCCCTCCGGAGTCAGATAGGTAGCCTTGTGGCCGTTAACTCGGCCCTTCCCGTCTTTCTCTACACGGTAACGGTACATAAGAAGCCGTTTTGATCATTGGTTGGATATTTCTTCCCATGCATTCAATCGTCTGATTCAAACGGATCTCCTCTCGTGGTGTATGATCTCTCTCCCAGCTGTTGATAAACGGATATTATACTCTCAGAGTAGGTATACAATTGTGTCACATTGTGGGACTGCTATGTAGCAGGAATGCTATTGCCACTGTCAAAGTGTCAGTGCTATCTTTTGTTTTTGTACTCCATACTCCATACAGAATATGGAGTAATCCTCTCCATGCCAATGCAGATCACAGCGGGGGTTGGGAAATCATACCTCGGTTGTACCATACTGTACATCACTTCATCATATCGGGAAACGAGCATCAGCTTTGTTCCTATCATTTGCAATCACCCTCGAGTCCCAAGGATTCCTGTTCGATACCTTTAGAAACATGCTTATCTTTGCCTTATGGGAAAGGGCCCAGAACAGACAGGGAGAAAAAAAAAAAAAAAAAAAAAAACACATACCCATAGCTCCTCACGAGTCATGCCTTCAGGCACAACCTCCGAGCATTTCATCCACATATCACGGCAGATACGGCGACGCACATTGACCTGTCTCTGCCAACGTTTCCATTCTCGCTCAACTTCAGCTCGTTCCTCCGGTGATACCTGCACCGACGAGTCACGCCCGTGAAATTCGTCCAGTCGTGCAAGCATTGATTCCTTCTCTGTCTCGAGTCGGTCGATATCCTGTCGGAGTTCGGAAAGCAAAGGTTTGGAGCGAAGAGTAGCCAGCTCAGCTCGCGCGTTCTTCTCATCAGTCTTCAGGGTTGCAAGTTTCTCTTCCAATTGCTTGATTTCCTCGTCTAGGTTCGCTATGACTCCGGTCGTGGCTTCATCGGATGAATCCTGCGGAACATGGTAAACGGTTTGTTTTCCTAGATGAAAGAAAGACTAGCATTAGTATTTGACTCTCCAAGATATCACCAGAGTCTGGTTCGACCACTTGCCAGCTACCCGTCCTTCAACCTCTTTGTTCTGATGTAATTCACGTAGGGCTTTTGCGGCATACGCTTTGAATAGGGTTGTCAGCGGAATTTATTTGAGACCATGGACATTGAATAGCTCACTCTTGGTGACCTTGTTGTGCAAGTTTGACGATATATCGATCGCCTGTATAGAATAGAAACAAACATGAGAATCAGCACATTTCTCTTGAGCCAACTTCGAGGGAAACGCACTGAATATGGGCGACTGCTCCAAAAGATTAGACGGCTACTGTATAGGAAACGGCGTAGGAGACGAATTTGGGGCAGTGGGATAAAACATACTTTTGCTTTCCTACCAAACCCCATTGGATCCATGTAAGTCGACGCGTATTCATGGGAACCTGTAGGTATAATAAAGAAAGGGAAACTCACGAAGATAGTCGAGAATCAACGCAGCGCCATCTGTTCCTGATATCAGCCGGCCATACAATCCGTGTCTGCTCTCTCATTGAAGCCCACCATCGTTACTAGGCTTCTTGTCTGCCTTCCCCTTCTTTTGCGACATATTTAGGGCAATGGATGCGAGAAGACAAACAAAGTCTACTGGGAGAGATGAGAGCGACGAGTGATTGCTGAGATGAGGTGAATAGTTGTTGTTGTAACTGGTTGATGCCACTGCTGGTGATGGTGTTTACATTAGAGTGAGTATAGGACCACACTGATGGGCTCTACCCCATCACGTGAGTAGCCCTCCTCCCTTCAACTGTTATGTATAATAATGACGCCGTCTCTGGGATAACATTTTAATTATTGCATACAGAATAGAGAATCATAAGAGATTAAATGGTAAGCGAAACGCTCTATTTCAAAGATGTGGAAGGTCGAATAAAAACCCCAGATGGACAACAACCGTCAACACACGCCTTTCCTATGCAGGTCATCAACAAGCCCTTCCAAGAATGAGAAGATAAATCACAAATTAAGACAAAATGTTCTTTTTTTCTTCCCGAAATGCCAATTACAATGAAATAAGTATGAAAAGAATCACGCCGAATGCAAAAGCGGCCTGGGTATCACATGACGATCTGTATTTGAGTTAGTATTTCTGTTGCTGGGAGTTTAAGATAAGGAGTAAACTTACGCAATCGTTGTCTTTTTGGATAGTAGGAACTCCCATCTCTTCGAACGTCTTGGGACCTTTGCCTGGCAATCCAGGCTTCTGGCTTGCCGAGGTCGAAGAGGAGGAAGCCGGCGGCTTAGGTGTGGACGGCGCAGATTCTTTGGGCGGCGTTTGGACGGACTGCGAAGAAAAGGAAGCAGCAGAAGGCGATGATACAGCTGGCCGAGGGGAAGCCACGGAGCCCTGCGAGGGAGGAGAAACAGGGGTTCTTGCAGGCTTCCGATCAGGACCTCCATCGAGACGCGGAGGCCGGCGGCGAGGGTCAGCCCCCGGGGATTCCAAGGGCGCCGAATATCCGACGTCGAGTTTAGGCGCGGCAGAAGGGCTGCGCATACTCGATGGGCTCGTAGGAGCGGTGGCGGTGGTTGGTGTTTTGGTGCCGCTTGGATGACGGTGGCCCATAGGCCCTGCTCCATAGGATGCAGCTCGGTTGTAAGGGGGCGCATTGGCGCGAATGTTGGGGTTGATCGTGAATGCAGAGCTTGGCCGGGGATCCGGCATCGCGGCTCCATAGGGAGGTCGAGCCCTGGAGCTTGGCCTGTCGGGGTAAGGTGCCGCAGATGGAGCAGGGCTGTTGTCAGAAAGACTCATTTTCGAAGGATCGGGCATTTCGATGTTTTCCGGTGTTGATCCTAGATTGCCGGGTCGCTGAGAGCCATACCGGGATTTAATCCTAGCGATAGCGACCTTTTCGTGATCCTTCTTGGACAACGTCTTGGACCGAGAAATACTATCGATCCGGTTTGTCGCATCTTTATTTCCACTTGCTGCGGCTTTAGAGTACCAGCTTCTGGCCTCCTTGATATCCACAGGCACAAAGATTCCAACTTCGTAGAAGTATCCCAATGCGAATTCGGCAGTAGGGAAACCGCTCTGGGCGGCGCGTTGGGCGTATTGGAAAGCCAACTCGTCGTTCTTTTCGAATACTCCCTCGTGTCCGCAAAGGAACCACTTGCTGATTGCCATCTCCGCTTCCGGTTCACCCTGACGGGCAGCCAGAGCATTGTAATGCAGGGATAATGCAGGGTTGAAGTCACAACCAAGCTGACACAGCTCGTACGCGGCGCCAATCTTTACCTGGGCTTTGGCGAATCCGTGATATGCGGCCTTTTCGATATTGACGCGAGCAGCATTAAGATCGAGAGGAAGGAACTGCTCAGGAACGCTCACTTGATTCAATTCTCGCGCCAAAAGCATACCATAGACCTATAGATAAACATGGTCAGTCTAAAACTCGGAACGTAGACAAGATACAAAGGTTACGCACATAGGCTCCCTGAGGGGCATTCTCGTCACAGGACTCCGCAGCATAGTGGATGTAATCCAGGCCCGTATGGTAGTCTTGCGGCTGGCCATGCTGACCAAGAAGCATCATCATACCGAGACGCTGTTCAGACAATGAGTTAGCAATGATCGGTTTTCGACAAATATACCGTCGAGTACGGGAGCGCATACGTAGTATGAAGCGGAATCACCCAGGTTGACACCTTTTCTGTAATGCCGAATGGCCTTTTCGGGTTCACCTGCACTTTCAAATTGCATCCCAATTCTATACTCGGCCCTGGCGTAACCCTTCTCTGCTGCTCGTGAGTAGGCGCGGAATGCTTCCTTTTTGTCCACAGCAAAGCCAAATTTGCCAAATTCACGCCACATGCCTCTGATAAAGTCAGCCTTGGGGTGGAACTGGTCCGCCAAGAACCGCACAATGTTCATCGCATCGTTCTTGAGCTGATGCTCCACCGGCGGCGTCTGGGGCCGTGGAGGTTGAACCAGCGCGAGACGGGCTTCATTCTGTGTCGCAGCCTCGACATACGCCAGCGAGTCCTGCGCCCAGGCCAACTGCAGCTCTGGGTCGTTCGAAGACAAAACGGCCATCCTAGCCGTCTCTAAACTCGCCTCTCTCTGCTCGTCGGTGGGAGGGACATTTGGCGGCGGGTTGCGCAGAACGGGGAACGGAGAGAAATTGGGCTGGTCCATGGTGTCATAGACAACAGACTGTTCATATGCACCAGCATCGTAACCTGAAGATGACTGAGGTCCGTGGACGACGGCGGCGGCGGAAGAGGTCCGCTGAGGATACTGCGCCCGGTCGTAATGTACTTGACCGTACTGACTGCGGTGCGGGTTGCGCGCTTCGTGTTCGAGATGGGCGATGCTGTGTTGCATGGTCTGGGGCACTTCAGGCATGACCCTAGAAAGAGATCCAAGAGGAGAAAGTTAGCAACGTCCACCACCACCTTAAGACGAGCCGCTCCATGAAAACAAATCATTGAAGTGACAAGTCACAACTAAAAATCACGACGCACCTTTGAGGGGAGGGGGATATGACTTCTGGCATGTAAAAGTCATCCTGACCCCCTGGATACCATGTAGCACCAAGTCGTGGCTGACCACGACCTTGCGGCGGTCTGTTCATCATTGTAGGCAGTAAATCGCTGTTCGCGTGAACGGTTTATTGCTCGTTCTTTTGCTTCTTTCCTTTGTTTTTTTCTGGATTAATTCCCAGTGAATGATTTGTGCACGGTTTCTTTTTCGCTCTTTTGGGCCCGGCACTGTCTTGATTATTGGGGGCTCTTCGTTCCCAATACCTGGTGGTTTGGCGGGAGGAGGCCCGGGAGGAATCTAAAAAAGGAAGAAAAAGTACCAAAGGAACCGAATATCAATCGTGAGAAAGGAGCCTGCTAGGAAGGAAAGAAATGGAGCTATGGCAATTGAACAGCCCAGGATGGTGATAAATTGATTGATCCTCCACCAAAGAAAGAGGCAGAAAAGAATCTTGCGCGATAATAATAACTCAAGGATAGTAAAAAGGACCACCCAGATCACATGCTCTTTTTGGAGAAACTATTCCACGCCATAAAAAGTGATAGAAATTAGCAGAGGGAAATCGCAATCTTTTCAGTCACACTCATAATAATAATAATAATAATAATAATAATAATAATAATAATAATAACAAACATACACAGCACTTAATAGTAAATAAGAGTATGTACTCTGTACAAGAGTATCAATGCAAGCGCGGGGTTTGCAGGAAGCGGCTTAAAGAGAAACATCTCATGCATTTCATTCAGGAGGATACATACAGATACCCTATTAGTACAATTAAGAACTCTACTCCGTATTACTACTAGTATAGTAGTATGTCCACTGTTATTTCTTTGGCGCCTGGACAGAGACGATGATAATAATAAAGAAACCAGTGGAATTATATGAATTATAGACTATGGACCCTCTTAAAACGAAGCCTAACCGATGGTAATTAATTATTGTCAGGGGGGAGTCGTTACAGTATGGGTACAGTATTATCACACCGCCTAGAAACACCTGTCTTATCTCTTCTGCCTTCTCTGAATCGTAAACCAGGTACAAAAGGGAGATCGAGTTCTCCAGTTGACTTAGAATAGATACATGTCCAATCGGTCTGAATCAGGGCCCAAGTGAGTATCCCGATCTCGCCTTGCCGTCCTGCCTTAGAACGTTTCCAGAATCTTATGAGTTATGATGATCAGTGGTCCCTCCGGTGCTTCGTACTCGTATAGAGTTCATGCTCACGAACTACTCCGTACTACGGAGCACTGACTAGCACGGAGGATTCTAATAAACTATGCTAACAACGGGGTTACTTTGATAGGCATTCCTCCCGTCCAGTCGATGTCCATTCCTATGCATGGGAACACATTTGTAATTATGGGCCGTTGTGCAACTGACTAGGAACCCCGGGCTTTGGGGTAGGTTTGTTCCGCCAGTCAGGTTTCGTGGATTTATGCCGGTAAAAAACGCCGTCGGACCATGGGCATGGTTGGATCCATAGGGAAATAATGCTAAGAAAGATTCCTATGCATAGTCAACACGGGAGGAATAAGAGCTAAGAATATTATTTCCGGCATCATGGCTCTCCAACCGGAGGATTTTCATCATCCGTATACGCCCTATGAGATCCAATCACAGTTTATGCGGTCCCTCTATTCGTCTCTGGAGGAAGGCAAGATAGCCATTTTTGAATCCCCTACGGGTAAGCCTAGCATGATTGCCCAACGTTCTTGCATTAGTTCCCTCTGACGTAGTTGGTAATAGGCACTGTAAGTTTTGTGCATTCCAAAGGAGGGGGGGAGAAAGGCTAAACCTCCAAGGGAAAATCCCTTAGTTTGATATGCGGCGCGTTGACTTGGCTACGAGACCACAAGCGCAAGGAGTTTCAAGAAACAGTGGATAACACCACCTGTGAGAATACCTCGCTTGGAAATTGCTGCATTGCAAGTGCTCATTGGACTTCTAGGTGATGATGGTGAACCAGAATGGATGTTGGAGTTTGCGAAACGCGAATCCAGTCGTGCTATTACAGAAAAGAGAAAGGACTTCGAAGCGCGTCTGGCAAAGACCAAGTTGGAGGAGGAGAAGCAAAGGTCTGCTGCTGAACACCCAGAGAGACCTCGAAAAAAGCAGGTTTGTTGCATATCTGGATTTATGCCAGAAACGGCACACTGACCGCCGAACCAGAGAATCGACACTTCTACTGGATCGAAACCGCAAGATGATGACCAATTTGCTCTCGATGGATATGACAGCGAGAACGAAGAGCAACGAGCATCCGGGAAAGGCACCGGCGGTTTCGACGGCCTTTCTACCAGCACCATGGCGCTTTTGGAGCGCTTCAAAGGCAGATACTCGTCTCAGAATAAGGATGATCAAGATGATGGGGATGAAGAGATCAAGATATTTTTCTGTTCCAGGACACATTCACAGCTGTCTCAATTTGCGAGTGAGCTGAAGCGTGTTACAATACCGTCGAGTCTACCAAAGGAACTCCGGACGGGTAACACAGACGAGGATGAGCTCGAGGAACGGATTAAGCACCTTTCTCTTGGCTCTCGAAAGAACCTCTGCATCAACCCTCGAGTAGCTGCCTTGGGAAATGCAACCGCGATCAATGAACGCTGCTTAGAGCTTCAACAACCTGGTGTGGCAGCCGAGCACAAATGCCCCTACTTGCCGACAAAGGAGGATGAAGCTTTGACTCTGAAATTCCGGGACCATGCATTAGCAACGATAAAAGACATTGAAGATATAGGGAAAGTTGGCAAGCAGGTCGGCATATGCCCATACTATGCATCTCGCTCGGTTATTAAGCACAGCGAGGTTAGTCACCCATTGTTTACTCCCAAGATATGCATTTACTAATCATTCCACCGAGGGACAAAGATTGTGACCCTTCCATATCCATTGCTGCTTCAAAGATCGGCTAGGGAAGCCCTGAATCTTTCCATCAAAGACCATGTTATTATCATTGATGAGGCGCATAACTTGATGGATGCAATCGCCGGCATCCACTCCGTCACGGTCACGCTCTCTCAACTCCAGACTTCCATTTTCCAGCTGACCGTATATGCACGAAAGTTCAAGAATCGCCTGAAGGGCAAGAACCGAAGCTATGTTGCTCAGGTCATCAGGCTTGTCAACTCGATTGCGGATCATCTTAAATTAATAAAAGAGAATAAGCAGCCAGTTGAAGGCTCGGTACAGGCTTCGGATCTTATGGCCGGGAAAGGAGTCGACCAGATCAACCCGTATAAACTATCTCGCTATTTACAGGAAAGTAAGTTAGCAAGAAAAGTTGACGGATACGTTGAATTCTCCCAAGAAAAAGACAACCCTCAATCAAAAGACAAGCCCACAACGCCCGTCCTCTTTCATATACAAAGCTTCCTTTTACCGCTCATGAACCCTTCTGCTGAAGGGAGACTGTTCTACGTGAAAAACCAAGGTGATGTTCAACTGAAGTATATGCTTCTCGATCCAACGAATCATTTCCGTGAGATCGTTGAAGATGCTAGGGCAGTAATCTTGGCGGGTGGAACAATGTCTCCTGTAAGTCATATAGCACCAGTTCCTAAGACTCCTTTGTTAATTTTTGGCCAATGCACTTGCAGATGACAGACTACATGCATCACTTATTTTCTTATGTACCGTCTAGTCGATTAAGCACGTTCAGCTATGGCCATGTCATTCCAGCACAGAACCTGACTGCACAATCACTAGTCAGAGGAATTCAGGGCTCAGAATTTGACTTTACTTATGAGGCACGGGACTCCGAGAAGATGGTAAGCCTTTTTCATGAAGTTATTCGAGTCTTCCTAAGCTAACGGGGCCCGCTTTGCTACGATCAGATCATAGATCTTGGACAAACAATAGCTGCCTTATGTCATGCTATTCCGGACGGCGTTGTCGCATTCTTCCCTAGCTACGATTACCTGGCCCGGGTCCTGAACACATGGAAAAAGCCCACCCCAGAAAAAAAGACGCAGACTATACTCGGTCTTATCGAGCAGAAGAAACCCGTTCTGTACGAAACCCGGGAGGCAACAGCTAAGACAGAGGAGCTTCTCCAGCAATACACGGAGACTATCCAGTCAGGGTCGGGCGCTTTGCTCCTTTCCGTCGTTGGCGGAAAGTTGTCCGAAGGTATCAACTTCTCCGACAGATTGGGTCGGGGTGTGTTGATGGTGGGTCTACCATTCCCCAATATCCGCAGCGCATTTTGGCAGGCGAAGATCCAATATGTCGAACAGAAGGCGTACAATCAGGGTTCGGGATCGGAAGAGAACAGAAAATCTCTTGCAAAAGCAGCCGGTAGAGACTTTTACGAGAACGCATGCATGCGGGCTGTGAATCAGTGCATTGGGCGAGCCATCAGACATCTAAATGATTATGCGGCCATTGTCCTGATTGACAGGAGGTATGAATTGCCTCATATAAAAGGGAAATTGCCTGCGTGGATCAGGCAGAGCATGGTCGCTGGTGCTGGTCAAAGGTCCACCGATGTCACAATAAAGGAACTCTCCAAGTTCTTCGCAGCGCGATGAGACGAGTAAATGTACAGTTATCTACGCCCGGAATGGTAGAATTTGAATTACGAAAAAATCTTTTTGTGAAGTTCGTATGTTTCCTAACATCATAGTTACTCTTTAGGGGAGTGTTGTAGGGCGGAATATCACGTGATGCCCCAGAACGGATGCCAAGGAATCTCAAGGGCTAGAACCCTATTCGCAGGGCAAGCGAACCGGATTAGCGCACACTCTAGCCCGGCGGCCTTGATTTCAACATCTGAGCGAGCAACTTTTGTTACCCATCGCCAACCACTCAGACCGGTCTTGTCGAGCTCAGTACTGCCGACAAGATGCCTACCCGTTTCTCGAAGACAAGAAAGTCGTGAGTCGAGAGTCCTTGTCCCTTATCCCTTGGCCACGAATCGTCCGGATCGATCGAAACGTTTTTCAACTTTCCCCGTTTATTCCGGGCTTGCATGCGACACCGTTCAAACGATATCAAGGCACAAGGGGAAATTATGGACAGTTAGAACTAACATGGAAATCTTTCTACTTTAGCCGCGGTCATGTGTCGGCCGGTTACGGTCGCATTGGCAAGCACCGCAAGCATCCCGGTGGTCGCGGTATGGCCGGTGGTCAGCACCACCACCGCACCAACTTGGACAAGTACCATCCCGGTTACTTCGGTAAGGTTGGTATGAGATACTTCCACAAGACCAACCAGCAGTTCTGGAAGCCCACCATCAACCTCGACAAGGTACGTGGAATACAATTCGTTTATACCCGGAGGATACGACTGGCGGAAACCGATGGCGGATAAACGGCGCATATTTGGCGGAGTGGCGAACGATCAATCTATTGAAAAGAGGATGCACGAATGGATAGAAATTTGGATGGAACTTGGGAAGCAATGGAACGGAAAAGTGGTATTTGGACATGACGGCTGATGGGATTTTGATACAGCTTTGGAGCCTCGTCCCCGCTGAGAAGCGCGACGCCTACGTTAGCGGCCAAAAGACCGACACCGCCCCCGTCATTGACCTCCTTCCCCTCGGTTACTCGAAGGTCCTCGGCAAGGGCCGTGTCCCTGAGATCCCGATCGTTGTCCGTGCCCGCTACTTCTCCCGGGATGCCGAGCAGAAGATCAAGGAGGCTGGTGGTGTTGTTGAGCTTGTGGCTTAAGCGTGGAAAGGATGAGAAACAGGCAGGGTCGGTCTTGTGATGAAAGGTCAATTTTTTTCTTCCGTTTTTGCTTAAAAAAAAAGAAATGGGAATCTTAAAAATTCGAAAACTGGGAGTCTCGGATCGGTCGTATTGACCTGTGTATCTTGAGAAAGGGCCTCTTGCGACGCTTGGCAGGATTCTTAATGCCATACCTAACGATTCAAAAGATACCATAAAAGAGCATTATTCTACTGTTCTTTGTCCCTTTCCCGAAGAGTAGTCGAGTCTACGGTTAGCGTGATGGAGCGTTGTCGAATATCTTCATGCGTTATATTTCTCCCAGGCATTGTACATGGGTGTTTTCTATATACATTCTCATGACTTGTACTGGCATATCTACATTAGATCTTAGACTCCCGTACCGAACCAGAGCCCTTCGAGCCGTCATTGCTGGCCGCCAGAGTCTCGCTTATAAAACGAACAGCCTCGACAACCATCTTCGGGGTGACTTCGTGCCCGGCGTTCTCATCGATAACGTCCTCCAAGGAGACTGCGCCATCCGCGAACCAACCATCGGGACCAATAGCCTTCTTCAACCAGGTAAGGAAAAGCTCACCACGGTGGTATGGCACCAGCTTATCCACCCCTCCGGACAAGTTGAGAATCTTCTTGCCAGCGATGGTACGGGTCAACAGCGGACGCAAGGCTTCTTTCTCCGATTCGGTTGGTTCCGGGAGGGGACCCTCACGCCGGGGACCGGGGGCCGTGGACTTGACGCCGGTGTGGCTGAGGAACAGACTCGCCGGGTCGTACTTGGAGACGGTGTCTAAGAGGGACGTAGGGAATGCCTCCGATCCCAGGAATTGGGAGCCCGCAGGGTCAGTGCTGGTCCATTCCGGTAGCTTGGATAGTCGCGCACGGTCTGCCATGAGGTTGACGTAGTCGGGGCAGCCAATAACCACGACACCAGCGCTGACTCGGGGTTCGTGTAGTAGGCAGCTCCATGTCGCGTGGCCTCCGAGGGAAACACCTAGCACCAGGTTCTCGACGATTTTGCGGTCGGATTTAGGGAAGACAAATGACGGGAGGTAGTCCATTAGCACCGAGGTATCACGCGCCGTACCTTCTGTCGCCCATATTAGTACCAACCCTCCTCAGAGTAGAGCTGTAAACATCACTCACGGAAAACGGAGAACATGTCCTGCGCATGACGAGGATTGCCCTTCTTCCACGACTCATTGCCCTGCGTATCCACTAATCTCATCCCATGATTCCTCTGGTCAAAAGAGACGGCAATTAGTCCCTTAGCGGGTTGCTGTGAGCCTGCAATCTTGCAATTCCAGTCTGCGATGGCTGACTGCGCAATACCAGTCATGCGGTCCTTGGTGGCCAGTCTAGGGTGCAGAAGCCAGAGACAGGCTACATCGGTCGTCTGAGGAGGGAGTTCATCGAGACCGAAGACGGTGGTGAGGATGCCAGCGATGGGATAGGACTTTTCGGAGATTTGTGGGGGAGCGGAGGGGGAAGCGGAATCGAAGGTCTTGAGGGGGTCTGTGTCTGTCATTGTGCTGGATTGTTTTGCTTTTTCTCTTCCTTTTTTGCTATTGAGGCCGGGAGTGGTTCTCTGGAGAACTGAGTATTTGTAGTATTGATTCCCCGCTCAGCCGTTGGAGAAGCCGATAGCGGACGGTACGGTATGGTATGGTATGGTACGGTAAGGTACAGCAATTGAATGCCCAACTTAGCTGTTCTTCTCTGATGAGCTGCAATTCGCTCTATTCAACTGCATATTATTTTATGTAACTCTATGCACTCAGGGTTATGCAACCACGTGGCTTTGCTGCCTGAACCACGTGTGTATGCCCCAGGCAGGAACAACGTCTCATACATTACTACTCCGTAGTGTCCTCGATATGACAGATCCCGGCTTTTCAGGTCTGTCAGCTTATTGACGGCCCCTTACTCTCTCTCTCTTGTCCTGTTACTCTTTTTATATCTCTCTCTGCCCATCCTCCCTAATAACTCATAGCCAACTGCCAAAGCGGGCCTTCTGTGCATTAATTCCTAGTGCAGCTCCACTGCGGCAAGGAACGGCGTTGAAACATCTCCTTTCGAGCCTCCATTTTTACCATCACGACTAATTGTCCTCCTCCTGATGCTCTTTCTTCAATAGAAGACACTCAATATTCCCCTTTTTATCTGCAGGATAGAATGACCATATAGAAAAACAAGGAGAGAAGAAGGTCTTGGTCAGCAGGGGTCTCTTGTGATCCGCATGTTCGTTGGTTTTCCCCCTTCAACTTCTCCGTACGGGGTAATCTGCAGTGCTACATCATCAGCGCTACTACTGCATGTTCACAGCATTAGAATGCTAATCTCTTATGCTCTCTGTTTAGAGTCATGACCGACTCGTCAATTATGACGAATCCTGAATCCTCTGTCCGCCGGTCGGATATGAAAAGGCCAGATCCATTACCGCTTTCGAATTCCAATGCCTCCGGGGTAGCATCGCCAGTGTCGTCGTTTCCAACCGACGCCAAAAGCCGCCCTGCATCGGTTAAAAATATCTTGGGACGGGACGGGATTACTGAACACAATGGGGGAGGTAGCGGGATCACCAAAGAGAACGACGAGAATGGAGAGGTTGACCGTTTGGACATGGCAACGGGCACTCTGGGGGAAAGGTCCGAGCCATTGAAGACTCGACCGCCAAACCACTCGGGCGATGGCCTGCAGCAAGTACCCGGACACAGACATCATTCATCATTACCCGGGAATGCTTCTTCATCCCGTCGTCCAAGCGTGCAATTCACTCGTGACGCCTCCGATAATGAACTCCCTTCAGAGTTACCCCACTCCAGGCCGTCATCTGTCTTAGGCGACGATGCAGATCCGACATCGAAGGGGAAGCAGTCGATTTTTACGAAATTGAAAGCCTTTGCAGCTTCGCCACCCTTTACCTCACACTCTCGTTCGCCCAGTGGTGCTACTATCGGCGATTCTCGAACCATGGCCGGGGATTTAGCGACTCCAGCCTCTGAAAGAGGGGAATTTCGGTTCCCGGACACATTGGAGGAAGAAGGAAGTGATATTGATGCAGATGCGGAGGAAAGTGCTGGAGAGCAGCGTACCCGCCTGCAGAAGAAGAAGAAGCAACCGCGCCGCCGACAGCAACCACAGGAGATTGATTCGGCCCCTGGAACCGCTCCTACGACGCCTAGAACGAGTCGGCCTTCGTTTCATCGACACGGTTCTTTTACTCCTTTTGAGAGCTACCGCCATAACTTCTTCCCTCGAAGAGCAAGTGCTGCTGATATCCACCAGCAGCGCGAGGGTGTGTCGGAGGATGAGGGACGTGACCGTCTTAATAGGAACCGTGCCATGAGACGAAGAAGCGCCTGGCTCGCCAACGCTCGTGGCTTGAGCTACGGGCAGGGTGCGAACCAAGAGGAGAGACGGCCAGGTAACCTGAGGCGATTCACCGGATTGGCGGGCCCCTCAGAAAACTCAGAAACCCTTGCGGCACGTCGGCGCAATCGTGGTGACCGTGGCTCTAGTCTTAGCACTCAAAGATGGAAGCAGATCAAGGCCGGATTGAAGCTCATCGGACAGCGTCGCAAGGCCGACAACACGGTTGACCATGCCAAGTCAGCGGAACTGCTAGCAGAGCTAACCTCTGGAGTGCCGGCCGCTCTAATTTTGGCTAGCATGTTTCAACGAGACGAGCACGGTAGCAAGCGCATTCCAATCCTCCTGGAACAGCTTAAAGTCCGCGTTACGGATAGCCGTATCGATTCCAATTCGGGTGACCGTCACCTGGTTTTCCGGATCGAACTCGAATATGGCAGCGGCATGACGCGAATGAAATGGATCATCCACCGAACTCTGCGAGATCTCGCCAATTTGCATCTGAAATACAAGCTTCACTTCGGAACACAGAAATATATCCAACTACGGAACCCCGAAGGGGGGCATACTCGTCTCCCACGTTTCCCCCGGAGCGCGTTTCCCTATTTGCGTGGAGTTCGTGGACTGGAAAGTGAGATGGAGGATGAAGAGGATGAAGTTGGCTACGAGACAGAAGCTAATGCCACTAGTGGTAATGAGAGGGGTGGGAAGAAGAAGAAACAGAATCAGCAACAGTCATCCCGACGGTCGTCCGCTGCCCTATCCCGCAAGAAGTCCAACGCCACAAACCCGCAGGAGGGTGAGAACGCGGCACCATCAGGTGCAGCGGAAGCAGGCCCTGCCAACAAGAAGGAATCTTATCCAGAAAAACAGCGGAAAAAGCTCGAGGCTTATCTTCAGAAGATGATCCGGTTCCTAATCTTTAGGCCAGACAGTAACCGTCTATGCAAGTTCTTGGAGTTATCGGCATTGGGTGTACGTCTCGCAGCAGAAGGCAGTTATCACGGCAAAGAAGGTTTCTTGATCATTCAATCGTCCAAGGGCTTGGATTTCCGCCGGGCTCTGACGCCAGCCATGGTGAAGAAACGCCATTCTCCTAAATGGTTCCTAGTGAGACACAGTTACGTGGTTTGCGTTGACTCACCCGAAGAGATGAACATCTACGATGTCTTCCTGGTCGATCCCTTCTTTAAGATGCAAACACAAAAGATTAGCCTGCGGAATCAGAAAGCGAAGGAGCTGGCCAAGTCTGCAAAAGAATCAGCCAGACATCCGCAACATCACACCCTGAGACTTGAAAACTCGGAGCGAAAGATGAGACTGCTGGCCAGAAACGAACGTCAGCTAACCCAGTTCGAGGACTCAATCCGGTTCATGGTGAGTAACACTCCATGGGCCAAACCAAATCGCTTTGACAGTTTTGCTCCCGTTCGTCACAAATGTTTCGCACAGTGGCTTGTCGATGGGCGTGACCACATGTGGATGGTTTCGCGAGCGATCAACCAGGCGAAGGATGTTATCTACATTCACGACTGGTGGCTGAGTCCCGAGCTCTACATGCGGCGGCCCGCGGCGATCAGTCAGAAATGGCGTTTGGATCGTCTTCTGCAGCGCAAGGCCCGTGAAGGGGTGAAAATTTTTGTCATCATGTACCGAAACATCAACTCTGCTATCCCGATCGACTCAGAGTACACCAAGTTCTCTCTTTTGGATCTGCACCCGAACGTCTTCGTGCAGAGATCCCCGAACCAGTTCCGGCAGAATACATTCTTCTGGGCTCACCACGAGAAGCTGTGCATCATCGATCACACTTTGGCTTTCGTTGGCGGAATTGACCTGTGCTTTGGAAGATGGGATACTCCCCAACACCAGCTTACAGACGACAAGCCGACGGGCTTTGAGACCGCTGATATGCCCAAGGATGCAGACCATTCTCAACTCTGGCCCGGGAAGGACTATTCCAACCCGCGTATTCAAGATTTCTACGAGCTCGACAAGCCGTACGAAGAGATGTATGACCGTAATACGATACCTAGAATGCCGTGGCACGATATTTCGATGCATGTTGTCGGCCAACCCGCCCGAGATCTCACCCGGCATTTCGTGCAACGATGGAACTACATCCTACGACAGCGAAAGCCGACTCGCCCGACCCCCTTCCTGTTGCCCCCGCCAGATTTCGATCCCAGGGACTTAGAAGCCCTTGGGCTGGACGGATCTAGCGAAGTCCAGATCTTGCGCTCTAGTAGCATGTGGTCGACTGGAACCCCTGATGTTACGGAACACAGTATTATGAATGCCTACGTTAAGATGATTGAAGAATCCGAGCATTTTGTTTACATCGAGAATCAGTTCTTCGTCAGCACATGCGAGATCGACGGCAGGAAAATTGAGAACCTCATTGGGGATGCTCTGGTGGAACGGATTACACGAGCAGCCAAGAATGGTGAAGCATGGCGCGCTGTCATCGTCATTCCACTGATGCCCGGGTTCCAGAATACCGTGGATAGCGAAGGCGGAACGAGTGTCCGCCTTATAATGCAATGTCAATATCGAAGCATTTGCCGTGGAGAGACTTCGATATTCGGGCGGCTCCGTGCTCTGGGTATTGAGCCTGAAAATTACATCCAATTCTTCAGTCTTAGAACTTGGGGCAAGATCGGTGACCAGAACCAGCTTGTCACGGAGCAGCTCTATATCCATGCCAAGTGCATGGTGGTGGATGATCGAGCTGCGATTATTGGGTCTGCCAACATCAATGAGCGGTCTATGCTTGGATCGCGAGATTCAGAGGTAGCGGCAGTCGTGCGTGACACGAATATGATCTGGTCTACCATGAATGGCCAGCCTTACCTTGTCGGACGGTTCCCGCATACGCTTCGTATGCGCCTTATGAGAGAGCATCTGGGAGTTGACGTCGATGAATTGTTGGAGCACGACATTGCTGCTGAAGAAGAGAAGCAAATGTTCGAAATGGCGGAGAACTCCAAGGCTCCAGAAGCCAGGGAAGATGCTGAAACCGAGGCTATGATGATGGAAAAGCAGGACGAAAGGGACATGATTGAGCGTCGCCATCGTATGCAAGATGAGTTCCTTTCTCGATCCGAGGACATGCATAGTTTCAACCATGACATTGATTGGGAGCAAGGCAACAAC